AATTAAAAAATTGTTTGTTTGCCCTTTCCCGACCCAGATTTCTAACAATGGGTAGGTAGGTAGGAAAAATATTTTTTCCTTCTAAAAAATCATAAGAAGCCTAAGTGCCACATTGCTCACTTGAGTTAGGTTCACAGTACTGCTCTTCAAAAGGTTGTTTATTAAAAATTTCTTTCTACATTCCCTTGAAAAAATTGTGGGCTTATCCTAGCCATAAGGAGTCATGACATAATCAAACGTTAATATACACTGCATGGGAATTCTGAATATCAAGTGACTACTGTGGCAACAATGAATCTGCACTTAACTGGAATGCTTGTATTTCAATTATATGAGTATTTGTTGCATTGCTGATTTGAAAAGGATTTTTTCATATCTGTTTCCTATTTATTCCATGTAAATATTTGACCCCCTGTTGCAGCCCCTCCTAAACCCCAAGGCTATGGTCTGAATAAATTTCAATCGGTGCTACCTAAATAGTGTTCGATCAAGACTGTAAAAAAGCCACGGTAATCCAAGAGTTGGGCACTTTATGATTCAAGAAAAAGGAATATGCATGTATTCTACGGATGTCTAAAATTTATAAGGTCTTGTGGTCATTTTTTTCTGCAGTACTATGTTGTGTTAACAAGCACAGCAAAAAAGAGTACATTTTTCATATGGGGGGGGGGGGGGGGGACACTTAGAAAGAAAATGTAATGAGCATTATTTTTCTATGGAAAATAATCTATCCAGTAAAACTCATCATATCAAAATTTACAGGCCTGGAGGTGGTTTTTATTTTTATTTTTATTTTTTTTAAATTTTTTTTTTGCCTGCTTGTATACACAATACACAATTTATGTAAACAAGCACATAAAATATTACTTTTCGTAAGAGAAAGGGGGGGGGGTAGGGAAAAAAATGCACAGGGCATTACTTTTCAATGGAAAAAAATCTATCCAGTGAAAACTACTTATATTAAAAAATTATAGTTTAAAAATTACGTAAATCCTTTTGAAAACTTCTTTTAGAAACACTGCATGAACTCGCAGGTCTCAACTTTAAAGTTTGAACACGGCATCATAGAATGTAATTGACTAAATACTTTGCTGTATTGAAGCTCATTTCTCATCCAACTTTAAGTTTTAGTAAATGTAAGTTGACTTGATTCACTTGAAGGTAAAAACAACAGCCTTGTTTTCCACTTTTCCTCATCAACGCTGTTTTTTTTCTACTTTAGGTTTCAAAAAGCGACCCTAATTTTTATAATTATTTTTATTTTATTTAGTAAATAGTTTATGTTTGATGTCTCTTACACTTTTTGCTCATTTTCCATCCTTATCTACATGATCTGCTATAACTACTCGTGAGCTGTGCTGTGTGCATTCAAGCGAGAAGTTGTTTCCTGTATAAGTCACACCCAGAATTCACACCTTTACATTCATTAAGCATATTGAACACTAAATAAACAAAAAGGCTAGTCTAGGATAAACACTACTTCCACCACTTTTATTTTATTTTTAACACTAGTAATCAAAGAATCCAAATGACTTCAAAGAACTAAATTCAAATAAAAAAAATTTGTAAATGAAAAGAGCAATAAAATATTTTGAGTCGGGCGAATTTTTGTGGGTCGGTCGGCTGATGGCAAACAAACAATATTTTAATTTAGGCCCTATTTTCCTGTAAAAATTCCCAGATAACAGGCAGATTGAGTTTTTCAGTGCTTTTTATCAAGAATCTTGAATTTTGAGATTATATAAAGAGGATAAACTTACAATTTGACATATTCTTTATTTTACAGTAGAACATAATACCATTCATCAGTGTAACTATCCAAATTTTGTTGTTTTTTTTTCAAATTCAAAATTCCCATTAAGGACTTTGCACCTAGAAGGGTTAATTTATAAGCCAGGCATTCATGGTATAGAACTTGCTGAGCAAGATATGTCTCCTATGCACTTCAAGTAGCAGGAGTTCTCAATTATTACTTCATTTATGCATAAATTTGCATATTCATTAACTCAGTTTGTTTTCTCAGAATTGAGTTACATAATATAATACATTTGATATGGACTGTTAACTTAATGTGTAATGTGGCCTGCATCAGATTATCATGACCTACACAGTGTAGTTGGCAGCTTTCTGCAGACTCCTGTATACAAGATGTAGACCAGGATTTCCGTCCTCTTTGTTGTTGCGGATTTGTATTGATTGTTTAAATCCCTTAGTTTATCAAGCTGATAAAATGGTTCTGCCAGAACAGAAGAGGCTCTGATCAGGCATGTTAATTTCATTGTCTTGAAATATTGATCCGATTTGGCGGACGCATTTCTCCTGGTAGTCTCTAAGCTCTTTTTGATCATACAATCATTATTCTGTCTGTACTCAGGCCTGTAATGGTTTAATGTGAATATATTTAACTATTAAATACATACCACCATTCAAGATATGGTAGTCATAAGGTACAGAGAGAGATGATGTCATACATAACTCCAGGAGATGCGATACAGTTGACAAATTGCATGCTTAATATGAATGCAATCTTTTCCATTTCTGTCTATTGTACTGACTCAAATTTGCTTTTTTACAAAAATTGAAGGAATGAATTGTGGCAGATGTATGGAAATTTAGGTTTGCTTAAGGTCACTATTATGTAATCATGGTTCTGTAGAGTGCTAAAGCTAGTGGAAATCTTAGTAGGTGGAGAGTAATGTTGGCCTCTCTCTTTGAAAATCACTTGTAGGCAGTGGGGCATTTCATACAAAAAAGTATATTAGTGATAGCAACAAGTGGTGTTAAGCAACCCAATCTTCGGCTCTTAAAAGAACAATGCCTGGGAGAAAATAAAATTTGGGTGGCCGATCTGCACATTAGATTGAACTGATTTTTTTTCACAGAAAAATTGATACCCACAATACATGGTAATTAAATTGCATGTATACGTCTGCCCATGTTATGTTCTTGCAACAACAGGACAAAATCATCCTGCTTTAATCACAGTTGCAGATAGATCGGAGATAAAACACTCTTCAGGCCATACTAAAGTTATTGTTTGTTTGGAATGGCCTCCAACCTCATTGAAATGATCCTCCTGAAAAAAATTAATTTTATTAGTCAAAGCTAAGAAATTTAAAAAAAAAATTTAATCAATTCTTGGCATGATCGCATGCACCACCGAAACACCTTATTAGCATCAGATCTAAGCAAAACTAAGTTCTTGGATGATAGCTACTAGGAAATAGCTTTTACAAAAAGTCAGAGAATAATGTGTTTAGTGCTTATTGAGATTTATATATCAACAGTTTAGTTCAACTTCAATTTTGAAAAATAATGATATATATATAAATATGAAAATATATTAAAAAAATTTGTGAAATTATAGTCCTAAGAGCAATACATTTCTATTTACTTGCAGTGCAATGTTTTTTAAAATACAGATCTAGAATATTTCCCCCATTTTTAGCTCACATGAGCCTAAGACTTGTGAACTTTTCTGATCAAAGAGTGTATGTCATCCGTCGTCTGTCTGTAAACTTTTCACATTTTTGACTTCTCAAGAATCATGGGGACAGTTTCAACCAAACTTGCCACAAAGCTTCCTTAGGTGAAGGGGATTTAAGTTTGTTCACAGTAAGTGCCATGCCCTCTTCTAGGGGGAGTTAATTAAGAATTCATGAAAATTTGGTGGCATATCTTCTTATCAAGAACCACTGGGCAGGAAAAGGTGAAACTCATGTGAAAGCTTCATAACATACTCTAGATTCAAGTTTTTTCACATCATAATCCCTGGGGTAGGGCAGGGCCACAAGAGGGGGTTGAAGTTTTACATAGGAATATATAGGAAATGTCTTTAAAAATCTTCTCTAGAACAGCAAATTAAGCCATGAATAATCACATTATAACAGAAGTATCCTCAGGTTAGTGTAGATTCAAGTTTGTTCCAAAAAGACCCCTGGGGTAGGGCAGGGCCACAACAGGGGGTCAATGTTTACCATAGGAATACATAGGAAATATCTTTAAAAATCTTCTTCTCAAGAACAGCTAACTAAAGCCATTATTATTCATATTAACCCTTTGTGTGCTGACTTGATTTTAAGTGAATGGCAACCTCAGTACTGAGTTGTTTTGGAATATTGACAAAATTGTCACATTGGCATACTTGAATGCAAACATCTTTAAATTTTGACAACCAAATTGTGTGCATCTTCACTATAACCATGGGTTTCTGATCTGCTACTCTCCTCAATAACCCTTGGCATATGGTGATTTCAAAAGACGGGAATGTTTATGTCACGTGATCTTGAATCTTACCACTTACGCACAGATTGCGTCATTGACAGAAATAAAAAGCAAATTTAAACATTAAAGTTTTTAGAGAAAATAATTAACAAGAAGGTATCGAGCGATGTTTACTTGTTATTTAGGGTGCAAATCTACATCTGTAACATAGATTCCAGGTCACATTATTTGCACATCAACTTAAGATTGGATGATACCATAACTATTTATAGAATGACGTTATCTTAGTACGTATCCTTGCTTACTTGTGTTTTTTATTCCCAAGACTGAAGAGTCAAGATATATCCCGAATGCAGATATCGTCATTTACAAAAACAATTGCTGATTGGTCAAACTAACAATCAACTCCATTCACAACTCAAGAAAAAAATCCCAACTTTTGATAGCACCGTAGGCCAAGGGATTATGAGAAGAGAAGCAGATAAGAAACCCTTGGCTAGTGAGGATGATTTGCATGAAATTTGTATCTTGTATCTTGTATAGGTGCAATGGTTAAGGGGCATTTGAGTAAAACACATTGAAGATTTCAAATAGTGGAATGACCTGACAACCCTTGGACTAGCCAAAGGGTATATATAAGGCATTGAAATTAAAACTTACATCGGAATAGACAAGATTTTGGAATACATATTAACATCCAGATAAGAAAAGTTTCACAGTGTACGAACATAACCTCTGCAATATTCAGTAATGAATGTCTTTGTTTTGTTTTGTAGGCTAACCATTCTGTGTATTACAATGGGGGTGACTGCATCCGAGTATGACGACTCATGTTTCATCGGGGGCATGTCACTGCAGTCATTTGACCTGGGATATGTAGTTTCCTTGGCAGCAGGACTAATTTTAGAAATAGTCCTTTTCTTGGTCAGCTTAAGGGGGACAATTCTGGAAACGGAACCACGAGTTAGTGTTCAGTACATCCTATACACAAGATTGGGTAAGGCAATCCCATAGGTTTTGTTTAAAAACATGACAGGTTACATATAGCAAAATGTACCCTGTTTTGTACACATTACTGTAAAGGTGGATATATATTTACACATGTTGTTAATTATGGGATTTAGTACCAAGCACATTACACATGGGGCTTATTTCTGCAATACCAGCTAGAACTATGCATTGTTAAAACTGAATGAAACATATAATTTTTTGGGGTGGGGGTGGGGTGGGGGAGTATTTATGCGAAGTCTTTCTTATCTTGACCCATGTTTACAGTATTATGTATTCATACTGATCGTACATTGTCATATCCATATGCATTCTTATTTTCAATTGATATATGTTTCATACTTTTGCAAGTGTTTGTGGCAAAATGGTTTCATAATGAAGAAGGATAAAGATACTGTAAGAAAATACAAGTATATTGATTACATATTTATTTTTTTTTCTGTTGTAATAGCATTAATCTTTATACCCCTTGCTTTGCCATTGTACTCATATGGGAGTGGGATTATCATTTTGTGAGCTCAGTGCTCACAGTATGACTAATATTTTTTTCTGGGATATAATTTTCAAGGATCCTCTCTATAAATTAATAAGGAAAAAGAAGTAAGACTAGCCAGTTAATTCCAGCATTTAATTACAAAAAATTAATTTTGGCCTGAACTGGTGAAATACATGGAAAACAAGGATTTTTTTTAACTCAATCACAAAAATTATTAAGTTATATATTTTATGTTGGAAACTTGATACATGTATATATATATAGGAATTTTGGAATAACCCTCTAATACCTTTAACCTGTGAGCTTTAAGGTTCATCCATACTCTGATAAGGGAGATAACTCATAAAGACCATGATGACATAAAGGTCTATTATTCATTTATAAATTTGTCAAGTTGAAATGTCTTTTTTGTCCAATTTTGTTCAATTTTGCACTTCAAGCTATGCTATAATTGGGGAATTACATCATATTAGGCAGGGAAATTCCCTTGCCCCGAGTCTTAGGGAAAACCCTGGTTAAGTAACTCATGGCTAGTGTCTTTTGAGTTCAACTTGGAATTGCACCTGATAATTATTCTTAAGAAAAGAAAACTAAAGACAATCAAATTAAGAAAAACTTAAGCTTGCAACAGGAAAAATATAAATCCCATGGAAAATAGCTAGTTATTCAGAGTTGAAATAATTCCTGATGTTTATTCAGTGCTTCAAATTATGTTACAAATCAAGCTTTTCGAAATTTTCTCTACTGAGTTTGATATATTTTTTTTTTTCATATTGACAGTCAAGTATAGTTATAAATCAGGTAATACTGTGAAAAGAGTGGGATTAGCTTTCCCAGAATATCTGATAACTAATTCAATATGTGTCTCTATGCTTCATATAGGAGAGATTTCAATCAGTGTATCATAAGTTTGACTGAGAGGAGTCTGACTGTCATGTATACCTGGATCAGTAATAATCATTGCTATACATGATCTCCTTGTGTCGTGGACCAAGCCTAAGATTGTAACAGCTGCAAGGATATTGATTTAACCCAAATTATGGCAAATCAGAACAAATTATTCATGTATCAGTGTGCATATAACCACTGCACATCTACAAAAGATGATGCATTTTTCAATCAAAAAATTATGAATTATTGAAAGGATGCTGGCAACATGTTTTGTCACACTGTTCTTTTAGACCATGCAGTGGACATGGTGGATGGTTGAACAAGCAAAAAGTTCAGCCATGAATGATTCAATGTTCTTGACTTAGATTTCAGTCTAGCTGTTTGTACACAGTTTGGTACAGGGGATATCATTTTAAATGAATATTAACCTTTTTTTTTTTTTTCATTTTAAGGTACATATGTACCCTTGAAATGTGGGGAAGTAGGTTAATGATATATCTGATTCAGTTGTGTTTGAAGATGTAAATCTTTATAAATAAGCTTACATTTGCACTAAAGATAATACATACTGCTTAATGGGAAGCCCAAGTGACTTATCTTGGAGAACCTAGTGGTCATATTGCTATTTGGTATGGCAGTACTTAAAACAGTTTTATAAGGATTAATGTTAATCATTTTCTGAGAAAAGATTGAAACTTTAAAATCTGAAGTTAAAATTTGTCTTAATTCTTTGAAAAACCAATCACAGTATTTTTTATTGATTGAGCATGTTGAAGAAAACTTAAATAAGTTATAAATAATTGATGATAATCTAAAATTTATGTCACATTGAGGTGGCACGTGTTGTTTTTCATATATAGAGATATCCATGACATTGTAAGATACACTGGCTAAAACATGTACATAAATTAATGTAGTTATGAGAAGCGACCAAACAAAACTGTGATGGTGTCAACATGAAAGTATCAAATTTAATCCCTTTAAGTGCATGAGTTAAACAGGTTACAATTAACAGACAACTAATGTTTTAAAATTTTTGTCAGTCCTGAAAATGCTTTAGTTTTAAACCTGTAAATTGTTGTAAGATTTGTAGTTTAATAGGCTTACATCATCGTCGCAAACCACGGTTTTGAGTCCACAAGCTACGTGATGATAGAGAGAATCGATGTGAATCACCCGTGGGTTACCGACGATGGGCTTACATGTATGTTTTTGTTTGTTTTCTGTGCATCAAAATATATAGAACTTGGTTGCACAAAATTCTTTGTTGGTGGGGCAAGTTTAAAAAAATCTATTTGTCAGCCCCTAAATTCTAAATTAAAGTGATCGATGCACTGTTAATAAGAATTCCCTTAAAGAGATTTTTACTACATGTATTCTGTCACTGCCCATTGTATTCTTCCACTGTGCATCAAAATATATAGAACTTGGTTGCACAAAATACTGTGTTGGTGGGGCAAGTTTAAAAAAATCTATTTGTCAGCCCCTAAATTCTAAATTAAATTGATACACTGTTAATAAGAATTCCCTTAAAGAGATTTTTACTACATGTATTCTGTCACTGTGCCCCCCCCCCCTCCCCTGCAAAAAAATAAATCAATTATATAATGATTTAAATTAAATAAAAATGAAAAAAAAAATACAATACAATACACTGATACAATACAAAATACAATTTGAAAATTTATTATATCTTACAACTAAACTTATTTGACTTTGTAGCAGGAAAAAAAACATTCTCACATAACTATACTCGCATCAGATAATGTGACAGAGTTACCGGAAGAAACAAAACTTTAATTTAGGCCCTCAGAGTCTAAAGGAAGATCACCAGACTTCTAATCTAGTAAAGTATCATGGTGTGATAATTTCCAGGAAAAAACAAATTATACTTGAGTTTTAAAAGCAGTGTCATTGCTAAAGGTTTGAGCTTTTATTAAGACAATGTGTATTAAACTACAGAGTGCATATAGTTCAAGATTTTAATTAAAGATCAAAAAAAGTAAATTCCTGATTTTCACTTTGATAAAAATTTCTAATGTCTATTGTGGAACATTTACTAAAGACCAATTTTTATAATGGAAATAAGAGTCAGCTAGCCTTTGTTAGTGGTGATTTATTTTATAAACCAAGGACATTAGTTTTCTCTCTATTGAGGGAGGCACGCTACAATTGATTTTTTGCTTCTCATCTTTGCCACGATCCGAGAATCTGAAAGTGGGAGTATTCCAGTCTTTCCAATGTTGCGATTGTGATATGTTGTTGTCGCAGATGTTATATTATTTTGTGGGGGAATATGTTCTTTCATATATTAGATTTTGCGAGACATAAACCCCATTATAATTGTGTAAATGATTGATCCCTATCTAATATTATAAAATCTCAGAAATAAATTGATGGTGTAGAAATTAATGTACATAAAAGACTGCAAATTGGGGGCAGGGAACCTTAAGTTTGTTTTTATTGATGTAGTCTTTAGATTGTAATAATTTTTATTCACATAATGACATTCCTCAGTTTGGGTAAAGATTAATTTTTGTATGAGTATAATTAAATGTTAATGAATTGGAGGAACAGTATATAGTAAAGTTTTAGTGAGTTCAGTGTAGATAAATCTTGACACTTTATAAGTGAAGTGAAGGAGGTCATGAGACACACATCCCTTGAAGTTCCGGCCTTGAAGCTCTTAAAGCTGTTGTATTTTATCTTCCGTCATCAGTAAGGGCACAGTAATGATTATAATCAGTAGCTTTATATTAATAGACAGCTATTTAGGAAAACAATTTAATGTTTAGTGACAGTAATTTTATCAATTAATATGGATCAAGTCTTGTATTAATATGAGGTAGCTTAAATATCTGGTCTAGCTTACTGTTAGATTGATTGATTGTTTGTTGTTTTATGTCCCGTTGGAGAATTTTTCACTTGTATAGAGACATTGTAATGAAAAGTAAACATCTGTGGTATTAATATATTGTAACACATACTCATAAATTGTTTAATCTGAAAAGATGAATCCCAAATCTCATATTGTTTGTGAAATACTAAACTTATTTCTTTTTGTTGATTCAGTTAGAATGAAACAAGACTTTTCTGCTAAGAATGTATTTTTATCATGTTTATGTTCAGTTTTAATGAGAAGGAAATGAGATTGAATTACTATACATACATGCTATAATTTTACAACTTTTATCTCCCAACTTGTACTTGCTAAAGCTTTTTTTCCTCATTGTACCATCTGTCTTGGATGTTGAATGCAGTTATTGTTAAAGAGAATGTGTAGACTAAGTGTACTTAGAATGTTTTACAGACAAAATTACATTGGGTAAATATTTGTTCATGTTCCATTGACTATGGATGAAGTATAACCAACTTACCAATGAGATTTAAAGCTCAAAAGTACCTGATGCCTTTAAGTCTATCTAGTTTAGTCTCTGTTACCCCCAAAAAATCTGATTTTTTGGTGAAAAAAAAACATTGAAGTAGCTTCATTCAGTTAATCATGCCATGCCTCTAAGAACATGAAGAATGTATTTCTGAAGCCATATGTTTGTTAATGAGATGAGTTATTCTGTAATTTGATGTGTTTGTTTATATGTGTGTATTGTAGGAATTTTGCTGTTTGAGCTGGCCTGGCAGATAGTTGGTGTGGTCTGGTTAGCTAAACACTACATGAGTTGCCCTTCGGAAACACCAAAGAAAGTGACATTAGGTAATCCAGATTTGTTGTACAGTCCTGTAAGTGGGACAAGAACCCTGAATAATTTTAATCTAAAAATAGTTAGTACCTGTTTAAACTTATTTTCAGACTCATAATAAATTCATTGATGATTGAGGTAATTTTTTCTTCAAACTAACAAAAATTAAGTTCATTTATTATTAAGGTTAAGAATTATTTATTTAATTTAAATATTTATGTTATTTGATTGACTTAATCATTAAGCTCACTTTCTATTTTGATTTTAATTAGGTCACCTGAGTCACTCAGGTGACCTATTGCTATCTGTTTTCGTCCGTCGCCGTGCGTCGTGTGTTAACATTTGAACATTTTCAGCTTCTTCTCTGAAACCGCTGCACCAATTTCAGCCAATTTTAGCATATGGCATCTATGTGTGAAGGGGAACAAAATTTTTGAATATCATAGTCCCTGCCCCCCTGGGGCCTGAGGGGTGGGGCTAAATCCACCAAAATTAATGCAATCTTCAAAAATCTTCTTCTTTACTCCTAGACATCAAGCAGTTGAACTGTTGGCATCATTGTAATAAGCATTGAGCCCTCTACCAAAATTGTGAAATTCATAGCCCCAGGGTCAGGGGTTCTGGTGCTAGGGTGGGGCTATATAGATCATATAGTGAAAGTGCATTATTTCTTTTAAAATCTTCTTCTCTACTCCTGGGTATTATTGAAACAAATTGAATACATAGTTATGATAAGCAAGGGTGACTCTACCAAATTTGTGAAATTCATGGCCCCAGGGTCAGGGGTTCTGGTCCTAGGGCAGGGCTATATAGATCATATAGTAAAAGTGCATTATTTCTTTGAAAATCTTCTTCTTTACTCCTGGGTGTTATTGAAACAAATTAAATACATAGTTTTCATAAGCACGAGTGACTCTACCAAAATTGTGAAATTCATGGCCCCAGGGTCAGGGGTTCTGTTCCTAGGGCGGGGCTTATTATAATATAGATCATATAGTGAAAGTGCATTATTTCTATGAAAATCTTCTTCTCTACTCCTTGGTATTATTGAAACAAATTGAATACATAGTTATGATAAGCAAGAGTGACTCTACCAAAATTGCGAAATACATGGCCCCAGGGTCAGAGGTTCTGGTCCTAGGGCGGGGCTTATTATAATATAGATCATATAGTGAAAGTGCATTATTTCTTGGAAAATCTTCTTTTCTACTCCTGGGTATTATCTAAACAAATTAAATACATAGTAACTGTTATGATAAGCAAGGGTGACTCTTCCAAAATAGTGAATTTCATGACCCCTGGATCAGAGGTTCCGATATTTATTATAAAGTGAAAATGCATTTATTTAATGCTTAAAAATCTTCTTCTCTGCTCCTGGGTATTTTTGAATCAAACTAAGTACATTGTTATGATAAGCAATGATGCCTCTTCCAAAATTGTGAATTTCATGACCCCAGGGTAAAGGATTCTAGTGAAAAGGTTGGGGTGGGTGGCTCTATTGATTATATAGTGAAAAAGCAAAATTTCTTTGAAAATATTCTTTTCTGCTTCTGGTTAAAAAGCAAAGAAGCTAAGAATATAGTTATGTTGAGCAAGAGTGCTCCTTCCAGAGTAGTGAATTGCATGACCCCGGGTCAGATGTGCTGGTGCAAGGGTGGGGCTCTTGATAATATAGTGAAATTGCATTAATTCTATTTAATAATCCTGTCTGATCCTTAGTGTTAAGCAGATAAACAAAGTGATTACTTATGATGTGCAAACTTCTGGTCCCAGGGTGAGAAACTCTAGTGTTTCTCGATGGGGAGGGGGGGGGGGGGGGGCTCTATTGATAATATAGTGAATCTGTAGTAAAAATGCATTATTTCTTTAAAAATTTTCTCTGCACTTGGACATACCTGAGGCAAAAAGATTAAATGTTTTAATGTGGAAGAGTATTTTTACCAGATTTTTGAACATCTGGACCTTTTGGTCATGTGTTCTGGTCCTGGCCAGGGCTGTATTAATTTGTATTCTACTGAGAGGAGTTATTCCCCTTTGCCATTTACTTTTGATAATTAATCACTGTAAACAATGTACTTGAAAGTTAAATAGAATAAGAGAATTATGCAAGAATTTGTATTGTATAATATAAAAAGTATTTTTATAGTTTTACTGATCAGGTAGACTTGTAAGTAATAGATAAACAAGAGGCCCAAGGTCCTTAATGGTCACCTGAGTATAATACAACAATTTAGAAGTTAAATACACTGACAGATGAAGCTTTGTTGCCCTAAAGCAAGAGAAGTAGGAAGATCAGGATCAACAAAATATTTAGTGTAGTATTCAGTATCAACTCATAACTTAAGTTCTAATCTGTCCCCACTTAATTTTATCACCATGCAGACTATTAACAAACTATTAGTGCTTCTGTACTATTTTTAAACCCATATTAAGACCTGTAGCATTGACCTCTCTTATGGTCTGTGAAGAACTTTTAATAAGATAAGTTATTTTTGTCTCATTTTTATTTATCTATTACTTACAGGTCTGCCTGATTATTAAAACTAAGAAAGTACTTTTTGAATTATACTATAAACATTCTTGCATAATTATCTTATTCTATTAATCTTTCAAATACATTGTTTACAGTGATTAATTATCAAAGGTGAATGGAAAAGGGGAATAACTTCTCTCAGTAGAATACAAATTAATAGAGCCCTGTCCAGGACCAGAATGCTTAGACAAATTGTCCAGATGTTCAAAAATCTGGTAGAAATACGCTTACTTATATTATTTAAACTTTTACTCAGTTTGCTTTCCATATGCCCAGAAGCAGAGAAGAATTTCACAGGTACAATGCATTTTCACTACAGATTCATCAAAGCCTTACCCTAACACCAGAACCCAAGACCAAAGGTCAAGAAATTTACAAATTTGGAAGAGTTACCCTCATCATCATAACTATGGACTTCAAAGAATTTACACTTTTCCACTATATTATCAACCCCCCCCCCCCCTTCCTCGTTATGCCAGAACCCCTGACCCTAGGACCACAAGATTTAAAAATTCTGTTTGAAGCTCCCATCTTCATCATAGCTAAGCAATTTATTTATCAGCTCAACGCTAAGGAGCAGACAGGATTAGTTAATGATTAATTAATAGAATTAATGCATTTTCACTATATAATCAATACAGCCCCCCTCCCCCCCCCCCCCTCCTCAAGAACCCCAAAAAATGAGGCCATGTATTTAAAAATTTTGGAAGAGGCATCCTTGCCTATCATAATCATGCACTTAGTTTGTTTAAATAATCTCCAGTAGCAAAGAAGATTTTCATAGAATCAATGCATTTTCACTATATAATCAATAGAGCCCCGCCCTAACACCGGAACCCCTGACCCTGGGGCCATGAAATTCACAATTTTTAAAAAGGCATCCTTATGCATCATAACCATGCACTTAGTTTGTTTAAATAATCTCCAGTAGCAGAGAAGAAGATTTTCAAAGAATCAATGCATTTTCACTATATAATCAATAGAGCCCCACCCTAACACCAGAACCCCCAACCCTGGGGCCATGAAATTCACAATTTTTGAAAAGGCATCCTTATGCATCATAACCATGCACTTAGTTTGTTTAAATAATCTCCAGTAGCAGAGAAGAAGATTTTCAAAGAATCAATGCATTTTCACTATATAATCAATAGAGCCCCACCCTAACACCAGAACCCCCAACCCTGGGGCCATGAAATTCACAATTTTTGAAAAGGCATCCTTATGCATCATAACCATGCACTTAGTTTGTTTAAATAATACCCAGGAGCAGAGAAGAAGATTTTCAAAGAATTAATGCATTTTCACTATATAATCAATAGAGCCCTGCCCTAACACCAGAACCCCTGACCCAGGGGCCATGGCTTTCACAATTCTGGAAGGGGCCCACCTCCTCATCATAAATATGTACTTAGTTTATCAACTTAATACCCAGGAGCAGAGGAGAAGATTTTCAAAGAATTAATGCATTTTCACTATATAGTCGATACAGCCCCGCCCAAACACCAGAACCCCTGACCCTGGGACCATGAAATTCACAATGTGGGAAGAGGCTCTCTTGCTCATCATAACTTTGTACTTAGTTACTTAATTTAATACCCAGGAGCAGAGAAGATTTTCAAAGAATTAATGCATTTTCACTATATGATCTATATAGCCCCACCCTGGGGCCAGAACCCCTGACCCTGGGGCCATGAATTTCACAATTTTGGAAGAGACACTCTTGCTCATCATAACTATGTACTTAGTTACTTTACTTAATATCCAGGAGCAGAGAAGAAGATTTTCAAAGAAATAATGCACTTTCACTATATGATCTATATAGCCCCACCCTGGGGCCAGAACCCCTGACCCTGGGGCCATGAATTTCACAATTTTGGAAGAGGCACTCTTGCTCATCATAACTATGTACTTAGTTACCTTATTTAATACCCAGGAGCAGAGAAGAAGATTTTCAAAGAAATAATGCACTTTCACTATATGATCTATATAGCCCCACCCTGGGGCCAGAACCCCTGACCCTGGGGCCATGAATTTCACAATTTTGGAAGAGGCACTCTTGCTCATCATAACTATGTACTTAGTTACCTTATTTAATACCCAGGAGCAGAGAAGAAGATTTTCAAAGAATAAATGCATTTTCACTATATAATCTATAGAGCCCCACCCTAACACCAGAACCCCTGATCCTCGGGCCATGAATTTCACAATTTTGGAAGAGGCACTCTTGCTCTTCATAACTATGTACTTAATTACCTTATTTAATACCCAGGAGCAGAGAAGAAGATTTTCAAAGAAATAATGCACTTTCACTATATGATCTATATAGCCCCACCCTGGGGCCAGAACCCCTGACCCTGGAGCCATGAATTTCACAATTTTGGAAGAGACACTCTTGCTCATCATAACTATGTACTTAGTTACCTTATTTAATACCCAGGAGCAGAGAAGAAGATTTTCAAAGAAATAATGCACTTTCACTATATGATCTATATAGCCCCATCCTGGGGCCAGAACCCCTGACCCTGGGGCCATGAATTTCACAATTTTGGTAGAGGGCTCAATGCTTATTACAATGATGCCAACGGTTTGACTGCTTGATGTCCAGGAGTAAAGAAGAAGATTTTTAAAGATTGCATTATTTTTGGTGGTTTTAGCCCCACCCCTCAGGCCCCAGGGGGGCAGGGAACATGAAATTCACAATTTTTGTTCCCCTTCACCCATAGATGCTATATGCCAAATTTGGTTGAAATTGGTTAAGCGAACCAGTGAGTGACTCAGGTGACCTAATAAAAATGGAACAAAAATAAGTTGTCTTATTAAATGTTCATCAAAGACCAAGAGAGGCCAGTGAAAGAGATTTCAACAAGAAATTAAAATAGTGCAGAAGCACTGATAGTTTTTTTTCAATATACTGTATAGTGATAGTGATAAATAGGGAACAGATTAGAACCTAATTTATTAACTGTCAATGAATACTAGATTAATTATTTCGTTGTTGATCCTGATCAACCTATTTTCTTGCTTTTGGGCAACAAAGCTTCACCTTTCAGTTCATTTTATACTCTATGGATCCTCTAAATTGTTGTATTATACTCAGGTGACCATTAAGGCCCTTGGGCCTCTTGTTTCACTTAGCTTCCCTAAGCTCTTAATTACTGCAAATTTATCCTTAAAGCAGCAACAGTTTTTATGACATGTCATTGCATACACTTGTTATTTTTCACAAGAAAAAAAAAACAAGGTTAAGGAGAGTGGTTTTGAATTCTAAAAAATAGTATATAAACTAAGTAAACATTCTGAGAATATTGCATAAGCAATATTAGTTCCCGACTGGCAAGTGTAATCAGGTTTGATCCCCTTGAAAATTTAGAAGCCCCCCCCCCCAAAAAAAAAAGAAATTAAAAAGGGCATAATTCCTTCAACAACCACCAAAGTGGAACAAAACACTTATTCACTCTGTAACTTATCAAGATTCACTCACATACCAAAAATCAGCTTAATATCTGCAAGCATTTACAAAAAAGATGTAGAAAACCAAGTTGAACAGATTGATGGACAGACAGAGGGACAGCTAGATGGATAGACAGACAAATAGACAGATGAGGAGGAAACCTATAAATCCCCTCCAGTTCCACTGATATGGTACTAACAAGCATTCTGAGAGTATTGCATATTAAGTAATACTAGTCCCTTAATTTGGTTCCCCTTACAAATTAAAAAAATCTGTAACATTCTTCTATCAAAAAAAAATCGTTGAAGAAAAATAAAATGCAAACTTGATCTTTAACTCATCACGGTACACTCACATACCAAAAATCAGCTCAATACCTGCGAACATTCAGGAAAAAGTGTTAAATACCAAGTGGAACAGACAGACAAAGGAACAGATGATGAGGAAACCTTTTGTCCCCTCTGGGTTCATTGGTAGGGGACAATATCCACATAAATTGACTGTGTAAATTTTCTTTCACTAGCTATGAATATCTGTAACTGGTTAATCCTGCTAGTCATTGGGATCAGTGTATGGTGTACTTATGACCACGCTGGGGGTAAGTGGGTGAAGATGAAGCGATTCCAGGAAAGTTTGAAAGAGAGGCAGACACGCAACAAAAGACCAAGTGGCAGGAGAAACTGGAGGCAAAGGTGAGCTGGAAGGTCAAGAAAAAAAAATGAGACATTTAAAAATATTAAAACAACTCTGGTCCCCCCCTACCCCATTGAAAAAGAAAAACAAAGAAACATGCAGGCTTTTCTTATATATGAATGTTACAACATTTCAACTAAATGCAATTTAATTTTGTTACCTAAAGAAGAGAACCAGTTTTTATCATTTTGGTGCAGTTTTCTGAATAAAATGTCCTAAACATGAAGAATAGTGAAAATCAAGTTTTTGCTTATTTTTAGAAGTCTAATGCAAGCATTCTTTTCATTGAATAATACATCACATGAAAAACAAATGTGCAATCATAAAAAAGAAAATGAATGTTATTGGAAATTTTTATGAAGAAACAGATACTCTCTGAGGTATCATAACTGCATTGAATGGGACTAGTGAATGCTTAAAAAAATCCTGAATTTCTTAGAAAAAAAGTTCTTTATATGACACACTTGTGGTCTTCTCTATAAAGAATTGTTATGATGATAACCAATTAAACTAGCATACAACATTATTTGATCAGAAAATGCCGAGTAAGGATACAACAGCTAGAGAGGTATTGTGTTTTTGTGCATTAAATCTCTCAATCTCAGTCTCAATTTATGATTTGTCTACTGGGAGGAGAATTTGAAAAGTCTTGATCATTGTTTGATAACTGTTAGATGGAAGTGGATGGTTAATGGTATTGGTGATAATAGCTCAAAACACTGAAAGAGCTGTTGAGTAGGTTTTATGTAACTCGACAGATACATGTATTTATCATAATCAGTTGAAACTCAGTACACAACTTCATCATACCAAATTTTAGTTATGTAGACTTGACTACATCATGTAATTTTATTTTCAACAGATTTTTTTCTGATATCTATAAAAGTAAGAACATCTCACTAAGATTGCATGAAAAATCCATTCTACTATGATGATGTCCATTACTTTGGCACACACAACATGAAGGGCAGATGCTTCATAATGTACATAAATTTTAACTGAATAAAAAAATCATGTCATAAACATTAAACTATGTTTTAAGTAAGTCGCTGTAGCCTCAAATTTTGCTTCCTTATGAACGAGATTCAATTTATACGTATAAGGAACATAATGAAAAGTATTCTATGGGATCAGTAAGAAGTTCCTTTTAACCCAGATTCCCTTTTAAGTCAGTTCTTTTTATCCAAGTTTTACAGTTAACTTTCAGTATTCAGGGGCTTGTCATTTTCTATGTGTCTTAATTTTTGAACAACCATTTACTATGAAATTAATGATTTAGGTAGAGGGGTGTTCAAAAATTAAGGACAAATATAGATTGTGACAAGTCCATGAGCTCTGTAAGCAGCAGGTGTAGATACATGATGTCTTATACATAATTAGAACTTTCATATTACATCATTTTCAGATACACATACATTATATTTCTTGACTATTTCACCAATACTTAAGCATTTATTTGTGTCAAACAGTTAGTATATTATCAACCAATAATCAGGACTTATCAATTACTTTCATATAATTTAGTTAAAATATAATTTTATATTTTCATGTTTTATTCATTTGAAGTGGAAATGCAGGGAAATGAAATGTAAACTTCACCATTTAATTCAGTATACATGGTGTATGCGTTTAAGTAGAATTTTATCAGTATATTTTTTTCTCTCCTTGTTTTGATATTTTGCTGTCAGTCATAAATTCTACTGAGGAGTAGTAGCATGCCATTGAGAGCAAAAATATTCATATAGTCTTATAGCCATATATTTCATCCAGAAGCAAGCATTTCCAATAAGACAATAAATTTTTTTTTTAAAATAGTAGTTTTTATTCCATTACTAGGCTACATTTGATGGTCTTTTAAATATCAACACCAGTTATGATTTAGACAACAGGAACTTTATAACATGGGTTTTATAATTGGATTTTACTATCAAGGAATAATTGATATATCTTAAATTATATAATGAAAAAGATGAAGATGACAAACAGTGATCAATTTCAAAAAACCTATAAACTATACAAATCTATGAACAGGGCATAAAACATGGAACCCCTAAAATTCCAGAGGTGAGATCAGATGCCTAGTAAGAGTAAACATCCCTGTTGACCTGTCACATCCGCTGTGATGCCTATGCATTGATTGGGTAGATAGAATATTATGTAGTCAAACTTTTTATAAAAGCAAAGGCCTAACAATTGTTATGAAATATTTCGTTCAAAATATGACCCAGTGACAGGTTGTATTTGCTCACAAGGTTATTATATAATTATCTTAAAATTAACAGGATGCTGACTTTAAACAAGGTTGTTGAAATCACTGTAACATCAACTTGTTTATCAGTAACATGCACATGCATTAGTTAAAAAATCAATCATACTACAGGTATGCTCTTCAGTATATAATAAGTTGGGAGACATGAACACTACAATGTATATGCTGGTGACAACAGTTTATTACTAAATAAGGGAAGTTGACAACAGGGAAGCTGCAGTCATCTCATTTGTCATATAATTTAGTTGATAGTTGGCCCTTGTTGTCTATGAAACTAAGATTTTCCTGTACACCACAATCTTACATTTAAAAAGATGAAGGTAAACAACTTGGGGTATTCCGAATAATGAGCAATAATGTAATTCTGCTTGTAATATGCCGTTTGATAAGCTGAGAAAAATAAGTTTATATTGTAAAACCTGTGTTGCCTAGGTCACAATGACTTGTCAAAAATATATCGATTTGCTTGATGTTACATTTAGAACTTGAACAATTGTAAGACATTTTTGATGGAAAATTGTTTTTTTTTTTAATTTTTACACTTTATGATAGGAAATTAAATTATAAGGAATAAATTCAATAACTTTCCAAGTTATACTTGTATAACTGGGTTGGAAAAGTTTATGTTTTTTTTATGATACCACTTTGCAGTTTATAAAGCATGAACTGCCTCAACCAAGGTTACACAATATGATTTTGGTACCTATTAAAGCCATTCCTTAAAAATTTCACGTGTAATGAATATATTTATTTAGAATATATTAATTTTCAGCAAAGCTGGACTTTTTGAGGTATTAATGCCATTTTTTTTGTTGGTGCAACCTCTCCCAAGAAGGTACATAAATATATTGACATGGTGTTTGAATCAACATGATTTTATGGTACATGTATTGCTAAAGAATACAAGGTCCTTATGGCATGTCCCTTGTATAAAAAATTAATAACCTGAATGCCACTGCCCAGACCTAATAAAATTTCAAGTGTTGCATTAATTGAGCTATAAGCTGATTGAAGATATTCGATCTAGATACGTACATGTACATGCACTACATGTCATTTAATGTGTTTCTTTTCATTGGCCTGAGTTGTTTTTCTATTATGCATGATGTATATACCTATGATTTTAAAATATCTAAAATGCTGATTTTGACAGATAATGAAATGTGCAGATCCATATTCGAGTGAAATTGAAGTAAATTCAAGATTCAGTTACAAAAATTATGAGTTAATTAATGAAGAATAACAAAGAATTATTTTTAATTAGAAGTAAAATTTATAAGCTTCAAGAAAAACAAATGAACAAAAAAGAAAATACTAGGGTTTCAAAGTTATATTTCCTTTTGTATATTTGAGTCAGAATACACGAAATTACATCCTCAGGAACCTGTAAAATTTAAGCAATTCACAAAAACTGGCCCCCACAAATTTTGATGATTCGAGAGTAGTGTGTAAATCTATGTGTCATAAATTTATGGCTCCTTAAACTAATTTTTTTTTTAAAAGTCATGCAAAATCAAAACTCCTTAAAAAAGGAAGATATATTTCCTAACTTTTGAAATTCTGAAGTGTTTATTATTACAAGGACTTGAGCTAATATCTAAAAACAATTGTATTTGATGGTTTTCTTATTTTTCAGCAGTGCAGAAATTATCACTGTTGCTTTCTTACTTTTTGTGTTTCATATTTATCCATGAAACTAAAATTTTGTCCTCTATAAAATCATTATTTGTATTGTATTCATCATTTGACTACCCTTGGGTAAAGCTTTTTAAATGTGTTTATGAATTAAGCTATTCATGGACACCATTTGAAGCAGTCATAAAACTGTCATGAACATTTCGTAATTATTTTTTAAGTCATAAATTCCATCTAGAGGACTGAAGACAATGTTGTGTACAAGTTTAGATTCAATAAGTTTAGATTCAAATATGTGCATCTGTTACCTTGTATTATTATTATGTATAGCAAATTATTTCAATTCTTATATTGTTACATTGCATGCATACATTATCATATTTACATGACGTGTGTAAAATGCATCATGTGATTTTTTAGACCTATTCCAGCAATTGTTCAATCAATATACTCAGGCATATGTACATGTATTCATTTGCTCTTTATTTTAAGCACAAGATTTTATTTTATTCAACCATGGGTTACATTTATGTAATAATCTTCTAAAAGCATCTGAAACAAGGTTTCCAAATATGTTATACTTTCATGATTTTTTATGGTTTTCATATATTATTATTTTCAACAGTATTCAATATACAAAAAGAATAAGTTTGATTGTGATATTTTTATCGTTGAAGGAGGTTAATATGCAAACTGTGCCCTATCAGGTGTCCAGTGTTATGATGATAGTTTGCATCTTGCATGATGATGGCTGTTTTGTTGTATTCTGCGGTTGCAAGTGCATCCTGGCTGATTGATGCATGACATTTGTTTCTGCAAACAGACTTCAGATATTCCAAACATATGTTTAATTCCATTATATTGTGAAGACAATCAGGTCTTTAATTGTAGTTGGAAGAATGTTTGTTTTCTCAAGAGGAAATGCAGATCCATTCAAACATACAATTGACTTAAAATTGACTTCTGCATATTAAGAACAGCTTGGAAATTCTTAAGTACCTTTATGTTTGCAGTGTACAAAATGCATTCTCTATTCAGATTTATAAGCATGTTGATGCAAGGTGTTAGACTTGTAGTTAATTCCACTTTTGTTTTATTGGCTGTAGATGGTATTTATAAGAAAAAAATATCCAAGTCAAATTTTTTTTACAGTACAAAATTTTATTGTATTTGAATTATGTGAGAAGCCAAAAAAAAAAAAAAAAAAAAAAAAAAAAAAAAAAGATTGTAAGTATCAGTTTGATTTGATAGATATTTAGTTACATTGTCTGTTGTATTGGATATTCTTTTCTTATTGTTCTGAAATAGCTGATGCATTTCATTCTTTTATTATTTAGGCGTAGTCTCCTTCGATTGTTTTCAGCCTATCTCAAATCCCACAGGTACTTTTTTCTATTTCATTTTTCACAGCATATTCAAATTACCTGAGGCAAAGGCACATTAAAAGCTTTTTCTGATCAAATCATCTGTTGTCATCAAAATCTTATGAACTTTTTTTTTCAACTTATACAATTTATCTCCAAAAACATAGTTAAACTTAACCATACAACCATAAAACTTCTTCAAGTATCAATGAAATTGCATAATTTTTGAAGAAACAGTTGAAGTTTATGTTCATGTACAATTCAATGAGTATGTGTACGGTTTACACTTATTTTAGCAGTAGTCAAATTTAAGCTCCTTTTGTACTGCCTTTTGTCAGCTAATTCAAGTACATAAAACAAATACAACTTTTTTTTCAAATGATTTATTTTAAACAGAAGTAAAATTTTAGTACCTTTTTGTACTTCTTTTCAGTGAATTCAAGTACATGCTAATTAAACATGATTTAAACAAATAAATACAGCTTTTCTTGCAAATGCTCTCATTTATGAGTATGAAAGTCACTGGTTGAAGAAGATTGCACTATATTTTGAGTGCACTAATTTATATACATTTAAAGAATTGATAGAGCTTAAATGTGGACTTATGAAAAGAAAAAAATCTTCTAAATTAATTGACTTATTACTCATTATGAAGAATAAGCAAAGTTTGTTCAAACCATGGTGCTTTAAGTGAGAATGGAGCTGCTATAGGCCATTCTGGAATTACTTATCTGGTTTGAAAATGGATGATAAACTTTTAAAGCCATTGACATTTAATAATCATTGTATCATGGCAGTTGAGATGGCCCATTGATCAGGATGCCAGGATAAAGCCGCTTTATGGGTCCAGATTTCTGAGAGAGAGAGAGAGAGAGAGAGAGAGAGAGAGAGAGAGAGAGAAAAGAGGGGGGGGGGTTGTAAAGAAAAAAAGACGAATTTATCAAATATTTCTTTGTACCAACATAATGATTTGCTCAAATTAAAGTCATTGCTTAGGTCTGAAGATTAATTTATTTTAAGAAGCTTCTTCTGTTTGTCAATTTAATTAGAGCCCATATTGATTTGTGTAAAATAAAAAAAGATTAGAGCAGATAAATTAGTGTGCAAGAGGAATTGAAAGTATAGAATAAATCTTCCATATTTTACTCAAGTGTAAAAAGTAAAGGATAAAAATGTGTATTTCAATATAACAAGCATAAGCACAAAAAGAAAGCTTCTCTAATCTGCACCAACCTTCACCCTTGAGGAGCAACAAAAAAGTGTCACGAAAGTTGACAAACGTTTAGGTAGCAAGTCTGAATCTCTTTGAAAGAATAGCAATTTTTTGCTGTTGTTTTCAAAAAATCATTTGAGAAAGAACTTTCGAAATGTAAATTCAGGTGAGAAGTGTTAGAGAATCAGGTGAGCATTGTGGCCTTAAGTCTTTTAATTGTAGTATTTATCTCTACATTCATAATAACATTTGCCATTCTTCTTCTAACCAGTTCATTATTAATCTATATGATATTGCTTTATGCTATCACCTAATTCTTCATTAATCTCAATGGTATTGCCTAGAATTTTATGCTTGCAGTATTGAAGTGACATATAAGGTATTCACATACATGTACTGATTTTCTCTCTTTGATCATCAGTTATAAGAAGAAATGTAACATTGTGCTCTAAAAGTGACAATTTCCAAGTAATTCTAATGAATGTATAAAATTTTAGTAGATAAAAGGCAAATGTGACATTCGTCAGCAAATATGTTCTCACTGATAATTTTTTCCTTATTTTTACTGCAGCCATTCATTAGAGTTTAAGTTTGTTAAATTCACATACCATGGGTCAGACAACTTTGACAAATCAGAGCATTAAATAAAATCAACAGTACATTGTATTAGAATTTTTAAACAGGAATGTAATTTTAGATGACAAAATGTTCAAAGCACAGTAGATTACACATTTTGGTTGATGTAATTATAATCAGAGGAGATCCCTGTTTTGCGTCTTTGAAGTGACAGTTGGAAAAAAAATGTTTTGTGTTTTGCAGTACATCCTTTGCAAAAAGGAAAATCAGGCCTTATGATTCCAAGAATATAACTTCTCAAGAAATCGGAAGAAGTTTTCTGAAATTGATAATAAAAAATCCTTTCCTGAAGTATAAAGCTGTACCAAGCTGGAATATTTGAAACTTGTAGGTGCAGGTGCTCATTGGCTGTACCGATTTCTTAAAATTATTCAAACTTTCATTTCAAAATTAAAATTACAGTGAATGACATCATGCCTTAAGCATTTCCCTGATTCTGTATTGAAAAAAAGAGGTGTATATACACAGTGATCATGATGTCATTGCCGAGGTGAAGTATATTTGAGTTTCACAATGTTGAATTGATGTCCACTCCCCTTGCAGTACTGTCTACCCATAAATTACTAGTATTTAATAAACAATTTAGCTAGGAAAACCGTTTGTTCAAAAACCTACTTCAATAATGGCAGCAACGATAGCTCAACTATCGTTTTAAAAAGTTGAGCTTGTAGTACTAATATAGAAGTCTAATCTTGCTTTTAAGTTAGAGGGCGTCTGATCCATGGTGAGATTCTTACTAAATAAGCATTTGTGAAATGCATATTTAAAAAATTTACATGTAAACTACTTATTCTTCATAAAAATACTGACATTGATGTCATATTTACTCCAAGCCTATAACCCATTTGGCGTCCAATTTAAGAGTCAGAAATCTGACAAATCATCTGTTGATCATATTGTTTCTATAGCATATGAAGGTCTTAAATATCAATTTCAACTAATTACTTGTATGGTATGATCTGTTTGTAAAATTCTTAACATGTATCTTGACTAACGAGTAATATTGACCATAAACCCTGCCATAATTCAGGATAAAATCAGTCATATAGATGTTAAACCATTTCAAAAACAGGTACAAATTTGTAATAGAATACTAGTATAATGAAAAAACTTGGATCATATTTTTTCGGAGAAAGTTCCTGCCTGTTACTTCAATGGGGTATTCAAAGTGATTTAATACAGATCCTGACGTTGATAGCAGATCTTTAAAATGTCAGAGTGGCCAAAAACAGTCTTCTGCACATCATGGCTTGTACTAGCCTGTGTGCTTTCTTCATTCCTATATGTTATATTGGGTATAATGGTTATTTTTTTGCAATCATCAATGATTTCCAGATTTGTTAGGTATAGTCAACATCGCAAAAACTGCCAAAAAAAATTCTAATCTTATCCTACATCTTTGTTTGCATCACAGAATATTTGCAACTTTTCAAAATAAAATCGGAATAAAAAAGGACTGCTAAAATTACACTTGTTTTGTATCTTGTTGGCAAAAATATACATTTAATCAATTTTTTTTTATATGTGAAACTCGAAATACGTACCTGGATGCTAGTATGTTGTAGCTACTAAAAATTCCTTGGTGTCGGGCTTCCTATCAAAATATATATGTAGTTCTATTGTAGTGATCATTTAACTTAATTAATATATATATATATATATATATATATATATATATATATATATATATATATATATATATATATATATATATAATCTTTGTTCTTCTATTTATTCTCTGAGTTATGAAAAAAAAAGATTGTTATTTAAATCCTGGCAAAAAATAAAATTATGAAAATAGAATGCCTTATTTGTACAATCATATAAATATAATCTCCTTTTGCTTAAAATGATAAAATTCCGATACAAGCACAAAGGACAGAAGAACCGTTTACAAAGTAAAAAGTATCACTTAAGGAATTAGAATCATTCTGTTTTCAGATCCATAACAAAGGGAGACCGCTTATCCAAGCTTTCTATAGACCAGTGCTTAGGTACTTGTTTTTGTAAAATGTCATTCACATTGATATCTCTTTGTAGGAAGACTATAAGAGCCTATGAAGAAAGCTGGGACCGACGCTTCAACCTGTTGTGTTGCTGTGTCGAAAGAAAGAATAACAATAGGGTAACACAGCATTGTAATGGTATAACATTGATATCATTCCCAAGGTCTTTGCTTGGCCTTGAAACCTTTTATTGATATTGTGTCAGTGGATAGTGTTAAATGATGAAAAGTTTCAACAAAATGGCCTTAAGCATATTGGAAAGGGATGTGCAGGATGCTAGCTGCTATCCTGTAGTTATCCATCTCTATGGTATTGCAGACACCAAATATGTTTCTGGAAGGGGGGGGGGCATATATTATTATTATTTGTTTGTTTGTTTGTTTGTTTTTTTGCACAAAATACTAGAATTCTAACAATTATTCGTATGAAATAATAGCAAAGTATTTGACCAGAAAATGTAAAAACTAGTAATAGTTAGTTGATTGATTAGTCTTTAGCTGCATTGAAAATGTTTCAGAATGAATGATGACATTCCGTTTGTGGCACCAGTTTTTAATTATTTTTTTTTCAAGAACTGCGTTGCGTGTCACAAAAGAAGAAAAATGAGTTGAACGTGAAGCCAGTTTTATATTTGAATTGCTCTCATATATATATATATATATTTATGTCCTGATCAACCCAAACAGAAATTTTCAGTTAAAATGCAGCATTAAAAATGTCGCAGACGTCTAAATATCGATTAAATTTTTATGCTTTAAATGCAAGTACTTAAATAAAATACTTTGAACATTGCATTTTTTGATATAGTTACATGTAGATTGCTTTTTTTCATGTGATTTACAGTTAAAGGACTTATCGCATGTTTCTAAATTATTTGAGATTAAAAGTGTAAAACGTTCCTTATGACCACAGTTTATAAATTTCGTGTTTTTACTGCTGATAAACCGCAGTAATTAACCAATTATTGACCCAAATGAAAAACCCCTGAATTAAAAATCTAAGTTAATTAGATAGCGATCACGTGACCCTGTGACGTCAAAGACGACAATGGCTGATCAGCTCTTCACGTAAATCTTACTAAAATATACGCGATACAACCTGAATTTTCTGCGTTATGGACGACCAAATCACTGATTTTATAGATATGATTTTTAATATCCAACCTTATATTTTAGAAATGTCAGCAAGAAATAATCTGAAAAATCCGTTAACATTGTAAAAATAGCAGCGACGATAGCGAGGGAGACGCGGCGAAGACGAAGAAACTCGCCATAACAATACAATTTGATAATTTGTCATTTTATCACATGTATGAACTTATTTGATTCACAAATTCAAATTACATAACTTTGCTATTCTTCGTTTTTAACATAACATTAATTTATGCAAGTATGCCTTCATATGTTTTGTAAAGGATGGCGGTCTTGAAAAATAATTTTCCGATCACGAAACATTGCCGTAATCAGACCTACAGATTCTAAATGTTTCGAATAAAAAACGAAAATATCTCAAAATTCTTACACCTTAGAACTAGTTAATGTTTCTATAGTAATTGAAAATCACATTAGGAATTAATATTATCAGCATTTTTTCATAATAAGCTGCATTTGTCGTTGATAACTCCGTAAATAGTGTGTAACTTCTCATCTCTCTATCACTGAATTGTCGCCTATGACGTCAGAGCAGTAATTCGCCGAAATCCGGCTGAAATATGCATATTGCCGTATTTGAATTTCAACTCGCAATATCTCTTAAAATACGCTTTCAACAATGTTTATTGTATTCAGAATTTTAATAAACAAGGTTGTAGATAATATTTATCATAAAATTAAGATTTCTGAGAAATCATGCGATAAGTCCTTTAAGTTATCCAATACTGTTTATAAAACCTTATTGACATGTCTTGAATTATTTGAGATGTGTTGGTAACGAGAAGTTAAGTTAAACGTTAAACTGTATTAACCCATCTTTTCGTGTATAGAGCACTTGTTAAAATTGATGACTTCCAATATCTTATTACGGAAGGCCTGACGTCTTCCTTGAAATTGTCACCAGTGAAAAAACGTCTCTTTACTGGAGAACTTGTTAAATTAAGCGTCAACACAGAATCCCTAATGCATTACACAGACATTCCAAGGAAATTTGCTGGAGAATTCTGGGAAATTGGATTTCTGTAACACTTAATTCTTGATGTACAGCGTTGAGTATTTGAGTATTTGTCTGTTCTCTTCTGAAGAGTTTGACGTGATTAGGTTTTATTTTCGAGCAATTTTTCAGTAGAGTATTTGTGTACTTCTCTAAAAGATCCTTCTTGATGGGAGTAAGAATGATGAGAAATGCGTCGATAGTTCAGTGTTTCTCTAACGTCAAGTGCAGGAAAACCACTCTTGTATGAACCTGCACGTGTTATACTGGAGAGTCGTCTCTTTTAACTTTATGTAATTTCCTTAGTTGTCGAGAAGTCAACAGAGGGCGCGCTAAATTTGGCTTAAGTGGATCTATACTAGTTATACGGAAGAAAAGTTATATTGCTTAATGAAGTACACTTACAAAGTGCATTGTGATATAAGATTTTGTATCTCACCATTGTGAGGTTGATAAGAGAATTTTTGAAAAAGGAGAAAAACTTAAATACATGTATTAGTTTATTTTAAACTAAATTATTTAAAATTTTAAAAAATCTTTTCAAATGTTATTGCCTTCCTCGTTCAAAAACAATTTGAATGGCTTTTAATCCATTATATTACATAAAATATCAAGTTAACAATCGTGCTATTTTCACCATACTGAATTCAGTGTTACATCCTTAATTTGGGGAAGAAAAATGTTCAACAAGTGTATACCAAGAGTATATTCATACACCAGTTTTGCAGTCTTTACGACCCCATGAATGATAGATATTTCAATGATAGTTTGCGTAGTTTGTAACAAGAACTTTACCATAACCATCCATTGGTTTTAATCACTTTGCCGAATTTCTTTATCTTCAGTACTCGTATGTGTAGCTTTTCCTCTTTTTTTTTTCTTTTGTAGTTTTTAAAAACACATTTAAGGATACTGGTTGTTTTGTCTTGCAGATGATAATCCGTTTGTTACAATATTTTCCCTCAATAGTCAAAGAGATGCATCTATCCTGTATTAGAATTTTTTTGACAGATAAGATGACTTTTTTTGAGTGGAAAACAAGTTTTCTGCAGTATTTCGTAGTCAGTTTTACTTTCGCGTTTATAGAAACGAATTTCGAAACAGTTTGGATCAAGTTTGTCTGAAATGGATATTTTATTTCAAAGATGTACATTTCCTTCTCTTCGCAAATTAAATTGATTGTGACCTTAAACTATGATATCAAATGAAGATAATATTTTCCAATTTTTCAGAACACCATTGCCGAGATAGCCAAGTTGTTCACGGAATTTTTCCGCGATCTGGATGTTGTTCCATCTGATGTTATTGCAGGATTTGTCTTGTTACGGCATTATCAGAGTCTCCGACGGAGACATGTCGTGTCTCAGGTTGGTAACGTAAATATAAAATATATAAAATTAAACCCCTTGTGGAGCTTATTCATTGCACTCGCTTATATTAAAATTTCCCCCCCCCCGAAAAAAAAGGTATTAACATGTCAATCTTGAAAAAAAATCTATTTTAAGTATTAATCTTTGCATGGAAAGTTTGTATTAATAGTCTTAATTTGTATTTACAATGAAAACTGCAGTTTTTTTGTCATGTGTTTGTCGTTCAGTACTGGAAAGGTACCAAACTCTTACCTGTCCAATTCAATCATATCACGTCATAAATAATTTCATATTGTAATGACTTTACAGCCGCCTTTTCTTACTATGAATATCGGCCTTTCACCCTGAATTTACACTTTAAGCCAATAATTTGTGAGGGTTGAAGACTGCATACAATAACATTTTTTTTCAAATTAAGATAAGCTGGCGACAGTTTCACAGTGCTTGTCATTATTTTATTAAACAGCCTTTTCTTCTTGTCACTTTTCATTTAAAATGAATTAAAAGGAGTCGTTCTTCAAAGATAATTGGTATTTCATGTTTTATAACTTCTTGGACCTCTGAAAAAATATTTTATATCGTAGTTCTGCATCATGTATATTATACCTTTTGCGCATTTTAGATTTATTAGTGTAATGAGTTTTTCGTGATTATTAATTTCACACTCCAAGGAATGATAGGATAGAGGAACTGCAGCTATAGATTACAAAATATAATTTAAAAGTGTATATATTTCCCTTTTCTCTCATTTTATCCGAAGGATTAATTGAGAAATTTCATGTTCCTTATTCTTTAATTTATTAATCTAGGTTTTTTCAAGAAAATTCTTATTTGTCATAGAAAACAGGCTCTCTTGTTTTCAGACCGAAAAAATTATTTATTAATCTAGTTTTTTTTTCAAGAAAATTCTTATTTGTCATAGAAAACAGGCTCTCTTGTTTTTAGACAGAAAAAAAAAATTAAAATACAGTTATAAATGTAATACTACTAAGAGCAATTAACATTCAAAACAGAAATAAAATATGTAATGACAGCTTGCAATCTCTCATGACTTTTGTCTTGCATGTACACCTGACTCCTCATCAATAATTATTTTTTGTTAATTGCTTGCTTTCCCGTAAAATAAGATAACCGTTACGTTGACTGTAATGTCGTAATCGTTCTACTATTCCCGCCAGAACTGAGAACGCATATCTAATAAAGCGAACGAAGGGAGACTGCAGAAAAAGGTATGGTAGAACGACTCGAAGACTATGCATGTACATGTACTCCTCAGCTTACTGCACAAACCTAAACAAATATATTTGTACATTGTAAATTAAAAATATTTTCTGGTTTGCAAAAGAGTTTCCATTTCCCTCTTAATTTTCAGAGCTTAATTAGTCTGACTCTTAATTTGCGTAATTATATTCCGGTGGTAACAACTCGGAAATTATATTTTTACACTTTCATACTTATAAGATGGTGGGAGGGTAGTTAAAGAAGATTGGGGGAATTTGAAAGAGACATCATTGTTGATTCTTGGCAATCCTGCTCAAATCATGATTTTGCATAAATAGTAAGGTTATTTTTAGTTCAAGTGTTTTTCATAAGGTAATGTAAATGGTTGTATAAAGTATTCTTTTCAAGTAAAGTTAAATTCTTTGTATGAGAGAAACAAAAACAATTCAAACATTTCCCGAGTTGCAAAATATGGAGTTAAGTAACAAGGACGAAGACCAATAAATGTACGCCAGGGTAAGGTTTTGCACAGATGGTATCCATCTACTGCGCAGTTCCAAGTGTTACATATAATATACTGATGTAAATCATGATACTGAATGTATATGGGCGAATACACCCACACGATAAGGAAAAGAGATGTGGGATATTCAAAAATTAATTATATTTTGCTATATATCTTTACCATCTCCAAAGGATAGAAAAATATTGCTTTGGATAAATTCAGCCTTAAAGTAGAAACTCGACTACAGTACATGTATATGTACTTAGGAGATTGGAGTCTGTCTAAAATCTACTTTTCAGGAAGAAAAATCTATATGATAATTATTTGCATTAATGTATGGAAGTCATAAACATTGAAGAGAAATCGTAAAAGATTAATTTGTTTTGCTAACTTAATATTTTAATCGCATTCAGAGAAAGATTGGTACGTAGGTTATCTGTATTTTTTGGGGAAAAAACAAAGTAAAAAAGTATAATGAACAATAACTATGTCTCCCTTTCCAGGACAATAACGTTATATGTGATCATCTGTCTGGGACTCCTATCACACCTACCACGTCCTTCTTACAACTGAGTCAACCGAACGTGTTAGCGGAGTACCAAAAGGTGATCCATTACATGCGCTTAGCTCTAGCAGCGTACGGGTGGCCTGCCGTGGTAATGATGAAGACAGACGCCAACTGTTGCGGACTTCTTCCAAAGCTGAGGTACTAAAGCTTGTGCCAACCTTTAATTTTCAACCATGCGTTTAGAAAGTTTTGTGTTGACTGATTTTGAAATGAGAGAGAGTAAATGGAAAGGATAAGACACCACGACTTTTCTTGCTATTACATTCTAAGACTGAAATTGTTCATTTATATAATTTTGGTATTTTTTTTTATATTGTTATCTTCATTTGATAATATAATTTGGTACTGTAAACCAATATTTATTCGTGTGAGAAAAATATTGTCTATTTTGCAACGTTCTATAATTTACTTGTGAATTTTTCTCGCCATGGTCCATTTTATTGTATATAACGTTAACAGTAGCGATTTCAAACTATTTGTAAAAGACGTTGCAAATTTAATTGGACAAAATAAAATATTTCACAAAGGACACTACTTTAGGACGACGTTAAGAAATCACGAGATATGTAAAGAATTGTGGTTATTTGCTAGATTAATAGGCCAAGATTTGCTAAAGAGGAAATAAGTGAATCAAAGCATATAGCCATCAAAGATTAGATACATGGACAAATTGTTCTTGATATGTTAAAGTAATTTTCAAACTTCAGTGCTACGGAGGGCCGGGGGGGGGGGGGAATGAAATTTTTATAAAACAGAACTGTAAAAGAAGAAAACAAAATATTATTCCATCGTTCATTGACTTAGAATAGTTTTAATGTAAGTTTTACATATGCCTTATCTAATTTTCCGTATATTTTGCGTATTAACGTAATACAACAGTAGACATTAAAGGAAAAGAAGCAAAGGAAATAAGCTGTTAATTTCTTTACGTTTTAGGTGCTGCTGTTGTGTGAACAAACCTTTATTGGAGTACGTCCAGGATAACTGTTGTCAATGTAACTTTGTAGCCTTGTTAAAACTCAGCCAGTTAAGAGAGTGTGACATTGTGTATGCCACATACCACGTTGATGTAGGTACCTTTGCCTCATCATTTGGCACATATTTAATGTTTTTTTTTTGGATTACTTTTTTCTAGTAAATTTTAGCAAAAAGATGATAAAAAAACGAATTGTAAATTTTATTCTCTTTCGTTAAAAAAAAGTACACTTTATATTTTTTCTGAAAAACAAATATGGATTGTCTCTCCTTTTGCATGATCTTTCGTCTTACCTTCTAGATAGGAGAAACGCCGTTTTATGTTGCCATAGATCATAAATACAAGACGGTTGTAATTTGTGTCCGTGGAACGACTTCACTACAGGTAATATTGAAATTGAGGAATAAGATGATATATGTAGTCTTCAAAAAGCCAGAATTACATTCCACGAAGAGAAATATATTATAAACACAGAATGTCTATTTACCGATACAGCGTTTTCTCGTTCTTTTGATTGTCTACACATGTAAGTCAGTTGTGTAATATTTGAGGCAGTAGAGATCTGAATGAAAAATTATCTGAAGAATAAAGTACAATACTTAGGAACAATAACTAGGTCTGGCGTTCTTTATTTTATTCTTCCTTTGAAAAAAGGGGACATATTGCACCTGTCAATCGGTATGTCGATCGGTAGACAAAACTTGGTACTCTGGTACCCCGTCATGATTAACTGTAGAAGACCTCTATTGATCTTGTGGTAATAAGGTCAATCTGGACGTAAAAAAAAGATTTCTACTGAATATCTCGAAAACCTTTTGCTAGGCGGATTAGAAACTTTGAAAGCATCGGTTTCCCAGAGACGTAAATGATGATACTGATTAGTTCAAGATCAAGGATCCAATTACTTAAGACATAAAAGATATTGTCTGGTCAATATCTTGATGGACAATGGAAGATAAATAATTAAATTAAAAAAAAATAAGCTTAATATTTTGAGAACCCGTTGCGTGACGGACATCAAACTTTGTACACTAGTATCTTCAAGGAGTAGAACATCCCTAGTAATAAAGATTTAAAGTTGATCACTTCCAATATTGACACAGAGAGGGCATATATGCTACTAGACCATTTCTTGTTTTCCTTTTTAATCCCACTCTGAAACCGTTATTTCAAAAAAGATATATATTTTATTGTTTCATTCTTAAAGTATTAAAATAAAGCAATTTTAATGATAACTGTAAAGGATAAGTGTTGACCTTTTCTCGTATGACTATTCAGTATTAAATTATGAACTTTAATTAACGTCATTCTAAGTTATCTGAATTCTAGAAACTTGGAAAACAAAAGAATATCAACCGGATGTGAAAGGTCTAAAGAAGGTCAAAATATACAATTTAAAGTTTTCGCACCTCAAAAATATTAATTTTATTGTCGTCATGCCTGTTGTCGTCATGCATGCAAGACGTATGAAAGACAAATATGTTGAAAATTAAGATGAGTCGAAGTACACAATTCCCTTGGTAAGACAAACTCCATCTCCCAATTTACAAGTCAAAAGGTCGTTTAGCTAGTAAATATGAACTTTTACACGTAAAAGAGAAAAAAATCACTGAAGTTTGATACTTTCCAGTTTGTCATCGAATTTGATTTTGAAATATTATGACTACAAAGACTATATATTGATTTGAAAGAAATGGAGAACGGTTCAGGATAAGTTTATTACAATTTTAGTAATTTAAAGTGTGTCACTCGTGAAATTAGTTATATCAAGGATTTTTTGAGAAGCATATTTTAGATAAGTACTCATATAGCATGACTCAAAATCGCAAAGAAAATGGTGGTCAGTGTGCATCTTACTGAGCTAGGGTATAATTAAGTTGACCTTTTTGCACTTAAATTGTAACTCTTTGGTTAATCACTTATGTTTATCATATTTTATCAGATGTAATTATGGCAATACATGTAACTTTAATCTTATTTTCGTAAAATAGTTTGAATAATATTTATCAGTGAACAAATCACGCTAATTAATTCGCATCAATTATTGTGTGACCTTTCAACTAAAAAGGTATCATATTTGGGGTATGAAAAATCAAAATAGGAAATAAAATATTTTCTTGTATCAAATTTTTTATGACTTAAGTGCTGATCGGTTGGAAATATCGTGTTATTTAAAATAATGAAAGAAAAAGTTGGGGTCAGTGATGTAAATTTTGAGATATTGGTCAAAATTTGCGATTTTCAAGCAAAAAACGGTGTAAATTTTATCTTGACTTTAATATATCTTCATTTCTTGGCAAAGTCTGCTGAGTAAATGTGTAAAATTTGTTCTAAAATATAAATTGAGACCTATATTTAATATTCCTAGCATATCATAACGGAAAATATTCTCTAAGTAAAAATATTTTTTGCTAAAGTTCCAAGATATTAAATTTAACAAATGTGTAGATTTGAAGAATTTTCTTCTAAATATCCTTCCACCACAAAAAATAGTCCCTCATTGATCTTGCTTCTTTATGAATTTGTGAGCAGTTTTTTAGTTGAATGTTGAATAATTTGCATTGTTAAATTTTGATATGTTTTAAAAATTGAATTGTATTAAATAGTTTTGAAGTTACAGGTTCTGACTGAACTTTTCTAAAAAGCTGACGAGTGACATACCTTAAAGAATGTTGTTCATTGAACACTTGCCAGTTTAAATTTTTAGGAGACTTAAGAAAATCCTAGGTTCATTTATCAAGTATTGAGTTTGGTAATTTGTAATCCTTCTGGAGATACTCCAACTTATGCAAGAGTTCTTAATGCTATAAATATTTTGACGTTTAAACAGGATGTACTGACCGATTTGAAAGCTGATGCAGAAATTCTACCCCTTAATCCGCCCATTGAGACCTGGGTAGGCCACAAGGTATGTACTTTCGTACTGTGTAAGGTGACAATTGCAAAAGCGCACAGTTAGACAGTTCCCTTCCCTTGCAATATTGTTTCTAATGCAAATATTGCATTTTTAATTATTTAGAAGAATATTTGTTTTAAAAACATTCTTATATACAGTATAAATTTTCAATGCATAATTTCTGCAGTGTATTTGTTTCAACTTTCCAGTTAAACTGGTTGATTTATCTATATTTTCATACGCTCACTTGCTTCCAAGAAGTATTGAATTATTGGATGTCCAGCTAAATGTTATTAATGTTACTATTAGAATTCTAAGTTAAATGATATACTATTTTTAACAAATATGTCTGGTGGGCGAAAAAGTAACAAGGATGATAAGTGTGCCGTACATTGTCCATTTTAATTTAGCTTTCAGAGGGCACAGAAACCAGGAAAAATTAGATTAATGTCAGGGTCATGAAATATAACACATGAATGAGTGCGGCAAACCAAGGAAATCCGCCCACAATGTGTCTTTGTGCCCTCTTTGTAATTTTGTGGTGAATTTTGAAAGGATTAGTATTTTCTGTTTACATATGAACACTTTGTAAACGTGAAAAAAAATTCTTTGCGGTGTGAATTGAATTGACATGAATAAAATTAAGAATAATTTATTTAATGTGTTTTGTTTTTATTGGTTAAGTTTCGTGATTGAATTTTCATTCCCGCGCTTACCACAGATTCACAAAAACAATGATTGGGCTTCTTTTTTGACATCGTAATCATGCTTGTCTTTGAAGCCCCTTTCATAGCAAACAATAAGCACCTTCATAATAATAATTAATTATATGATTAAGATGTTTGTCTAAGTACTTGATACCACTTCCCTGTATTACTGTGTTTGAATTGTAAGCTTGTTTATTTACTAGTAGTGTCAAAAGAAAGGAAAGAAAACCAGAGTTGATCATTGTCGAATTAAGGGTATATTTTTTGCGTGTGATTTTAGATACTTGTGTAAGAGAAGAGAGATGCAAATGCTTCCAATAAGATTTAACAAATAATTTCATTTATATATTTTTTTCAACATGTACATAAAACATGATTATGTGTGTCACTTCTGACCGACCCCTGTATTCTCAACTGTTAACTTAAGAAGTCATGCAGATTGATATTTGGCTGGAACTCATAAATGAATGTATAAAAGGCGATGCAATAATTTGAATTAGTAGCAATATTTCAAATATTAGAATTAAAATTTACCGCACTTGAAAATGTTCGAGGGTCATGAGTATAAGGGGTTCGTCATTAAACTAATTCAATGATGTTGCACAGGAATGTAATTTAAAAAATATAAATAAATAAAAATAAATCGATCATTTTCATTCTGGTATTATAATATGTTATCAATTTATTTTTTTCTCATACCGATTGAAGGGTATGGTGCAAGCAGCTGTTTACATAAAAGACAGACTGAAAGAGGACAATCTTTTATCCAAAGCTTTCAGCAAGGTATTGTTTTTATTGAATCATCAGTGAAATGATAAGCATAATCATCAGTGAAATGATAAGCATATATTTCAATAGAAAAGCTGAAACAATCACCACTTCATTACTTTTAGAATATTTTCACGTAAACTGAAACTGATTTATTTGATTAAACGCCTATTTTTACACAAACGTATTCAATGGCGTTGTACAGTAAAGCTGTAAAAAATATTTACATATTATATACAAATATACATGGAGAGTAATCATTAAAATAAAGCATCAAAGTCCCTAAAGAAGTAATTTTTTAAGTTGTGTTTGAAATCATCAAATAGATAGATTTTGATTGTTTGATATACAAAGGCAGTTCATTCCACAATTTTGGTCCGATGTATTGTTTAATTGTTAGTAGATCGATAATTTTTTTAAACAAATGTTACGAAAGGTATTTGTATAATTTTGTATTTAGTTTAGATTTAATATTTATATGTCTTTTATCTTTAGCATGTCCATTTCGTTATGCATTAAGTTACTGAAACAAAAAGAATGAATATAAATTCATTTATCTTTTATATTAATCTGCTTGTAATGATATGATAGGATGATGTGGATGAAACATATGAGCTGGTATTAGTGGGACATTCACTCGGAGCGGGGACGGCCGCGATTTTAGCTATTCTTCTGAGACAGGAGTTTCCAAATCTGCATTGCTATGCCTTCTCTCCTCCTGGTGGACTTTTAAGGTAGAATATGACTTCCAAATATAACACGTTAAATTAATTTTCGCTGTAAAAGTTTTTGCTTCATTTTTGTAAAATTTGCACAATCAACATTTCTCTAATCATATTTCTTTAAGTGCACATTTAATTAACACACTTTGGTGTTAAGAGGTAAAGTTTTATTTGGTGAATCCAGAATAAGTGCTGATTTTTTTTAGGCCAAAAAATATTAACAATCAAACAAAAAAAAAAAACAACCAGTTGTTAAAGAATACCTCAGGTTCTGTGTACATTTGTTTTATAATCAGTATATAATGAATTGTACCTTCAGTTCTGGGACTTTTTATTAATCCTTTCTCTTTTAGTGAAGCTTGTGTGGAGGAAACAAAATCTTTTATTACTTCTGTAGTGGTTGGTAAGGATGTTGTACCGCGGTGAGTATAAACGAAGATTAGAAATGTGGTTTCATCTTCTTGTCATTCTGTAAATGAGAATTATTGTACTGTTAAAAAAGAGAGAATTTCAAATATGTCTATAAGAATTTGTTCCTTTTTAAATTTAATTTATCATATACACAAGTTTTATAAAACATCTGACTTTCATGGAAAATAGTTATTTTTTTAAATTATGTTACTCATGCACAAGAATTATCTGATTGCTTAATACTTATTTCTACTACATGTACCTGTAATATTAATAATATCCTATTATTTAATACAGGATTGGTTTGTCTCAGTTGGAGGTTTTGAGAGCTGATTTGATCAATGTTATCAAAAACAGTAAAGAACCTAAGGTAATATTATCTCTCTCTCTCTCTCTCTTGTATGGAAAAAAGTTTTTTTTGATAAAAAGGTTGTGGGAAAAATATCAGTTTTGTCTTAAAGTGTGCTGGAAGCACTCAAGTAGTTCATTTTTATCATGGCCTTATTTTGTGTAAGCCTATGTAAGGAATAAAATTAACATGAAATCTGGGAGTCTAGATCAATTTTTCATTAATGAGTCATGAGGTATTTTAACTGCATAAGAATTAAATGTCGTATTTCTGTCACTAATTGCATAACACACATTTCAAAAGCTTAAACGTCATTAATATTGTGCACGAATTTCGTATAATTTTCAGCAAACGTGAAATTAAAACGTTTTTACTATGTTGTTCATAGTCATTTAATTTCCAACTTGTTGAAAAGTACATGAGATTTTTTCAAAACATGCTATTGTAAACTTACACATCAAAGACTTTTTGAAACTTAATATTAATGTTTAATTTACATATTAAGTTTATATTGACTTCTTTGTACATGTCAACTTAGTATGTTTTCTTTTTTGTATTTATGATTTTCATAATTTTTTTGACCCCTTTTCGTATTAAAAATTATTACTAACCATACTTTAAGAATATGTTACAGTTTTTAATCACTCATGTTAATTAATTTTTTTCTTAAATTGGGTTAATTTTCTAAGTCTTAACTTTCATAATCGCTATTTTTCAATAGCATTTTGAGAGTAAATGTTATGAAAATAGAAACCTCTGTCAGAGCTGATGTGCTTTAATTTTATAAATGCACCGATAGAATCCTAAAGTTAAATAATTGTATAAAATGACATGAATAAAAATACGTGTGCATATAATACAATGGTATTTTGCATGGATTGTTTGGGAGGAAACCATGGTTTTTGCCGTGTCAAAAATTTTTATTAAAGTGGAAAAAATGTTATAAGGTTTGTGCCCAATCTGATATTTACAGAGTTTGCCATGGTAATTGTATTGTTTTTAGCTCACCTGAGCCGAAGGCTCAAGTGAGCTTTTCTGATCACTTTTTGTCCGTCGTCCGTCTGTCCGTCCGTCCGTCTGTCTGTCTGTCCGTCTGTAAACTTTTCACATTTTCGACTTCTTCTCAAGAACCACTGGGCCAAATTCAACCAAACTTGCCACAAAGTATCCTTGGGTGAAGGGGATTCAAGTTTGTTCAAATGAAGGGCCACGCCCCCTTTCAAGGGGAGATAATTAGGAATTAGTGAAAAAATAATGGCATCATTTAAAAATCTTCTTCTCAAGAACCACTGGGCCAGGAAAGATGAAACTTATGTGGAAACATCCTCAGGTAGTGTAGATTCAAGTTTGTTCAAATCATGACCCCTGGGGGTAGGGTGGGGCCACAATGGGGGATCAAAGTTTTACATAGAAATATATAGGAAAATATCTTTAAAAATCTTCTTCTTAAGAACAGCAAAGCCATGATTGGTCATATTTATATGAAAGCATCCTCAGGTAGTGCAGATTCAAGTTTGTTCAAATCATGACCCCCGGGGTTAGGGTGGGGCCACAATGGGGGATCAAAGTTTTACATAGAAATATATAAGAAAATGTTTTAAAAAATCTTCTTCTTAAGAACAGCAAAGCCATGATTGGTCATAATTATATGGAAGCATCCTCAGGTAGTGCAGATTCAAGTTTGTTCAAATCATGACCCTCGGGGGTAGGGTGGGGCCACAATGGGGGATCAAAGTTTTACATAGAAATATATAGGAAAATATTTTAAAAAATCTTCTTCTTAAGAACAGCAAAGCCATGATTGGTCATATTTATATGGAAGCATCCTCAGGTAGTAAAGATTCAAGTTTGTTCAAATCATGACCCCCGGGGGTACGGTGGGGCCACAATGGGGGATCAAAGTTTTACATAGAAATATATAGGAAAATATCTTTAAAAATCTTCTTCTTTAGAACAGCAAAGCCATGATTGGTCATATTTATATGAAAGCATCCTCAGGTAGTGCAGATTCAAGTTTGTTCAAATCATGACCCCTGGGGTTAGGGTGGGGCCACAATGGGGGATCAAAGTTTTACATAGAAATATATAAGAAAATATTTTAAAAAATCTTCTTCTTAAGAACAGAAAAGCCATGATTGGTCATATTTATATGGAAGCATCCTCAGGTAGTGCAGATTCAAGTTTGTTTAAATCATGACCCCTGGGGGTAGGGTGGGGCCACAATGGGGGATCAAAGTTTTACATAGAAATATATAGGAAAATATCTTTAAAAATCTTCTTCTTTAGAACAGCAAAGCCATGATTGGTCATATTTATATGAAAGCATCCTCAGGTAGTGCAGATTCAAGTTTGTTCAAATCATGACCCCTGGGGTTAGGGTGGGGCCACAATGGGGGATCAAAGTTTTACATAGAAATATATAAGAAAATATTTTAAAAAATCTTCTTCTTAAGAACAGAAAAGCCATGATTGGTCATATTTATATGGAAGCATCCTCAGGTAGTGCAGATTCAAGTTTGTTTAAATCATGACCCCTGGGGGTAGGGTGGGGCCACAATGGGGGATCAAAGTTTTACATAGAAATATATAGGAAAATATCTTTAAAAATCTTCTTCTTAAGAACAGCAAAGCCATGATTGGTCATATTTATATGGAGGCATCCTCAGGTAGTTTAGGTTCAAGTTTGTTCAAATCATGACCCCCAGGGGTAGGAAGGGGCCACAATGGGGGATCAAAATTTTACATAGAAATATATAAGAAAATATTTTAAAAAATCTTCTTCTTAAGAACAGCAAAGCCATGATTGGTCATATTTATATGGAAGGATCCTCAGGTAGTGCAGATTCAAGTTTGTTTAAATCATGACCCCCGAGGGTACGGTGGGGCCACAATGGGGGATCAAATTTTTACATAGAAATATATAGGAAAATAATTTTTAAAAATCTTCTTCTTAAGAACAGCAAAGCCATGATTGGTCATATTTATATGGAAGCATCCTCAGGTAGTGCAGATTCAAGTTTGTTTAAATCATGACCCCCGGGGGTACGGTGGGGCCACAATGGGGGATCAAAGTTTTACATAGAAATATATAGGAAAATATCTTTAAAAATCTTCTTCTTTAGAACAGCAAAGCCATGATTGGTCATATTTATATGGAAGCATCCTCAGGTAGTGCAGATTCAAGTTTGTTTAAATCATGACCCCCGGGGGTACGGTGGGGCCACAATGGGGGATCAGTTTTACATAGAAATATATAGGAAAATATCTTTAAAAATCTTCTTCTTTAGAACAGCAAAGCCATGATTGGTCATATTTATATGGAAGCATCCTCAGGTAGTGCAGATTCAAGTTTGTTCAAATCATGACCCCAGGGGGTAGGGTGGGGCCACAATTGGGGATCAAAGTTTTACATAGAATTATATAAGAAAATATCTTTAAAAATCTTCTTCTTAAGAACAGAAAAGCCATGATTGGTCATATTTATATGGAAGCATCCTCAGGTAGTTTAGGCTCAAGTTTTTTCAAATCATGACCCCCGGGGTTAGGGTGGGGCCACAATGGGGGATCAAATTTTTACATAGAAATATAAAGGATAATATTTTAAAAAATCTTCTTCTTAAGAACAGCATAACCATGATTGGTCATATTTATATGGAAGCATCCTCAGGTAGTGCAGATTCAAGTTTGTTTAAATCATGACCCCTGGGGGTAGGGTGGGGCCACAGTGGTGGATCAAAGTTTTACATAGAAATATACAGGAAAAAATCTTTTTCTCAAGAAAAGAAAAGCCATGATTAGTAAAATTGATATGGAGGCATCCTTGGGTAGTGTAGAATGAAATTTGTTCAAATGAGAGACCCCGGGGGTAGGGTGGGGCCACAATGGGGGATCAAATTTTTACAAATGAATATATGGGAAAAAATCTTCTGCTCAGGAACAGCAATGCCATTTGTTATATTGATATGAAAGCATCATCAGGTAGTTTAAAATTCAAATCCCTCCCCTCTCCCCCATTAACTTTTCAATTCTAAACTGATTTTTGCTTCTTTTTTTTCCCCTAGCTAATGTGCTCAGGTGAGCAATGTGGCCCATGGGCCTCTTGTTTAAGCCTTAATTTTTAACAATTAAGGATCAAGGATCGAATATTAGTATCCAATCCCAAATTACATATTAGGGAGATAGATGGATGGATAGATAGATCCACATTACAGGCCATAAAAAAGACTTCAATTCACCACCTGTGTTAGCAACGTTGCTCTCAGGATTTTAGTGTGTTTTGCATCTGGTTGGCTTTAAGTTATTTCTACCATATACAGACATTCTAAAATGAATAGCCTTTAAAGCCCGTGTAATTTAAAAAATTCTGATGATTTATTGAATAGGTTTTTACGTTGAAGTTTTTACAGGATATGCTATGAACTTTGTTTTAGTGGAAAATCATAGCTCGAGGAGTATGTTGTGGGAATGCAGAGGCACGCAAAATGAATTTGGATGAAGTCCGGATTGAAATGGAGCGTGACATTAGGGCTCACCCCTCTGATGAGGACATAGCTCTATCCGCCCACACCCCTTTGTATCCTCCGGGAAAAATTATACATATCGTCAGAAGCCATCCGTCAGGAAAGCGGTAGGTTGTTTCTGTACTGACTTTGAACGTCGTAGTTTTTTCATTTAATGTTTTAAAGGTAGATTGATATTTGTAGTATGATTAAAATGTAATAGAATTTTTCTCGGATTTCAATGTGTTAAATTTTGTTCGGAATTCACTTTTTTTTTTTTTATAAATATTAATAGGAATCTTTTTTTAATTTGTAAATGGGTGTGAATGTAGTGTAATTTTCATCACTCGTGACTTATGGATTTTGATTAGCAATATACGTATCAACAAATTTGTGGTATTTAGATGTTCAGGGATCAAAATTAATACGACATATAAGATATAAGAGGAGCTTAGGAACCCCCCCCCCCCCCCCAAGAAAAAAAAACAAACAGAACAAAAAACAATAACAAACTGGGCCAAGATGTCGGAAAATTATTTAGATATCCAAGGATACAAGATACGTACAAAGTATATGCATTTAGACCCCAAAATTAGGCCAAGATATAGAAAAATAAATTGTCTCTTACCCCAAGAAAGTTATTTTGTGTTTTAAAGATGTGAAGAAAACAACAATTCAAAATTTAGCGTAAGTTGTTTTATATATATATATATATATATATATATATATATATATATATATATATATATATATATATAGACCACTACGTCTGACCAATACAGGTAACTGAGCTTGAGAAATTTTTTAAATATACAATGTAAGATGGTCAGATAAAATGCAAATTTGCTCAAGATTTAAGGATAAATGAATAGAATAAATCAGAGCTATTTGAAGAGTAAAGTCAATGAATAAAAAGTCACCTTGCCAAATGATGACAGAGAAAAATTGGGAGTAATTTGTCGGCAAAAAACGGGAATTTTTTTTTTATGTTTGTGATACAACGATAGCTTATTATACGAAAATAAATGAAATTATTCACTGAGAAAGTATGTACAAATATTTTTGATACATCAGTGAACGTTTAAGCACTATATAAAGTTTACATATTTAAATAAATGATATATAAGGAATAACAGGACGAAATATTTTCGAAGACGTTTGTATCTTTTTAAAAACAAAATTAAGTTAACTTTTCATCAGATTTACACCTATTAAAAATGCCAGATTTTAATTGAAAAAAAAATGCAGTGAAAGTTTTTAAAGAAATGTTTTAGTGGTGTATTTTTTTTTTAAATTTTGGTAATTTAACACTTACTCAAAAGATAAGGACAACCGAATTTGATATGAAAATGAAACAAAATATATCTGAAATCTTTGAAGGAATAGGGAGATCAATGTGCTTACTCATCAAACTTTCTCTAATATGTGTTTTATACGTTACATCGATATCTCCATATGTGTTCGAAAAAATGCAGTTTTCAATTGCATTCACATGCGTGTTCGTTTGAGCTTAAGGAAGCTCTAAACACTGCACACTAAAGAGTTATATTTGAAGGGTAGTTTTATTGAGCTAGAGTGATCTGCCCTTTGAAGGAAAATAGAATAAATGGGAATCTACAGGTAATGACACAATTTTTTATGAATTAAAGTATTCGTAATGTTATGTTAGTCCAAGATTAAGTAATTGAATACATCATTTCCATTAATTTTTCCGATGCAAGTAAACAGCAGTGATTTTGTTCACAAATAGTTCATTGTCTTTGAACATTTTTTCTGCAGAAATAAGGCAGGTACCCTATGTTGAAAATTAATTAGATACACCGAACTTGTGCACCTTTATATGATATATTTTTCTCAAAGTCCAAAAAGCATTTTTCATATGTGTTTAGAGCTTCCTTAACTGATAGAAAAAGAATTTAATAAGTTTTGTGCATTCATGCCACGTCGGAAACTATCTGATACAGAACGCTGGAAAGCCTTTGTAATGATAAGAACTTGATTGACGTATAGAAGGGTTGGCGAAAGCTTTAGTACTTTGGTACAGAGGTGGAGACAATTTGTAGATGTGGAAGAGAGTTAAAGAACTGGAAGACCCTGAAAAACTTCGGAGAGGGATGATAGATTTCTAGAAAGACTAGCTCAACAGAGTCATTTTGACTCTGCAAACACATTGAGAAGCAAGTGGAACTACAAAGCTGGCATCAGCAGAAGCACAGTAAACAGGAGGCTAAACATGTAAGCCAATAAAACGTCCACTCTAATCCCTAAGGCACAAAGAAGCAAGATTGCTGCGGGCATGACAACATAGGAGGTGGAATATTCGCTCATGGCAAAGAGAAGGTGCAGATCTATAGTTCGCCACCCATTGAAAGAATTGTATATTTATTGAAGATTATTAAATATATGGAGAAATAAATCGAGCTACAGTGCACTTTTCGTGAACAGTTGATATACACTTTTTCAATAGGTCCTCCATCCCAATTTTATCAGACCAACGAGCTACAGACCTGCAGCTAGGCAAAGAATGCACTGATCAGATGAAAGCCGATTCTTGCTACATCCGGTAAACACCAGGAAAATGGTTTGGAGACATCCAAATTCTGCATAAAAATAGCAATAAAAGCTTCGTGGAGGCGGTTTAACAGTTTGAGGATGCTTTTCTTTGCGTTATAACTGGAACTGCACAATCTTGATTTGCACCTTGGCTGCACAAATGTACAAGGATAACATTTTAAGGCCATGAGGTGTGCTTCGTTTTGATGATTATTTATTAGCAGGGTGATCTGTACTGATGAATTACAATGCTACAGTAAAACACGCTTAATGAACTGATACTCACAGCGAAGTGTTTTTTCATTCCCTGTGGCTTTAAAATATACTGTTAACTTAACAGATATAAGGAAATACGTTTATAACGAAGCCAAATCGTCTGCCTCTGGCACTTCGTTATCAGCGTGCTTTAATGTAGACCTCATCGGACTCGAATAGCGAGGCCTTTGAAACTTTTCCCAGGCTCACCATTTCCCCATACATGAACCCAGTTGAACAGGTGTCACACCGGGTGTGTGATTATCTTGGTCATAGAATTAATGAAAGGATCCCGCTTTCATTAAGGGATGATGTCAGTTCCATAAATGACTTGTCCACTGCATGAGAAGGCGTGTGAAAAAATGAGACTCTCGTGGTGGATGTACACAGTTTTAAAAATCTGTGCTTACAAATGTTGAAAACTGATGACTCTTTGAACGTCAATCAAATTTAACATGCTTATTGCTTGCAACTCTTCTCATAAGAAATTATTGTGAACTCTATACATTTTTGGTCATTTAATTTATTATATTTTTGGAAAAATCATCAACGGCAAAGATAAATAAATTAACAGATGATTTCGAAACTTACATACTCTAAGGAGAGAGAGGGTTTAGATCTACTTAGATTTATAAGCAAACATTTCATAATAAATTGGAATTGTCTGAGAGAATGAGATGCTAAAGAATTATTAGAGAATTAACTGTTGGTTAAAAGTATAAAAATAACCAGAAGTAGATCAGATATATAACAATATATTTATTCATGACAACCTTAATTATATAAATGCGGTTTTGAACCGAAATTAGGTGTCATATTTCCCTTCTTTTGATGAGGTAAGTTTTATTTAGATGCATATGCAAATTCATGCCAGGTGTCATAATTGTATTACCCATAGATTATATTGATATATTTACGATCTGGAGAACAACTTACACTTTTTTCTTTTGTTTTTATATCGTAGAAGGACGTTTTTTCATAAATGAAAAAGAAATCTAAGATGTCATTTGCATGGAATTTTTTTTTTTTTGAAATATTGCTAACGTTTTGACATTTTTGTTACGTAAAAACATTTAAAATTTATTTTTGTTATTTTTACTTTCGTAATAACACAGGAATGCGGTGACTTTGCTTTTTTAGGGGTTCAATAAAAAAAAAAACAACTTAGAATTTAGTTTACCTTTATAATCATTTTTGCATCCTTTTAATCAGAAAGTGTAAAATTCACAAATTTATTATAAAGGGATGTAGGAATCACACTATAAAAAGATATTAATATCGTATTGGGACAAAAATTTACATATATTATTTGATCTTTTATTGATGAGGAAATCTTATAAAGTATTTTCATTTAACCTAGAAATTGTTGTACAAATATAAAAATCATTTAATTCAGAGATATATGTTTCAACGTAAAGCGGTAATAAAGATCCATGGATCTCAAATCTATTGTAGGAAGTACCTAATATAGTGCTAATCAAAATACAAAGTTGTATCACTTTGAATATTTATAACATAATTTTGAGCTCTCTGTGCATATTTAGGAAGTCGTTCCGCTGCTGTCAGCCACATCAGCCTGTTTATCAGGCTATCTGGGCCAGTAATCATGCATTTGATGAAGTACTCGTTTCTCCATCCATGATCAATGACCACATGCCTGATTACGTTCTAGAGGCGTTAGAAAAGGTTAGTTTAACTTTTCTGTTACCTCCGGTATAAACAAGATATCATAGGAGATAATTAATTAATTACTATGATTGCAGAAGATAAAGACATGCACAAAGTCGAACTATTGCTAGTAGAGATGCAGTAGCTTGATATTTGTCTTGGGCATTGGTACAAAGTGATCCAGTTTTAATTCAAATACTCCAGGATTTTCTTTCATGATTGTGAAAGTGATGGTATTAAACTTTTATACAAGTTAATAATACCTACAGGGAAATTTAAAAAAAAGAGATTTCATTGAAAAAGCATTGATCTGAAATGAAAGATATTAACTATGTTTCTCTTAAATATGTACCTACCTTGGATTCCAAAAAATCTCTTGTTGCGATTTATTATGTCTCAAGAAGTAAACATGAATTTTGTATATTTCCTTAAAAATAGAAAAATAAGTTTATTTAAAAATGTGGCATCCCAATGCTTTACCAAGAGTCCGTATGTGACAGTTGTCATGATTGATTATGTGTTCTCAGTAAGCAATTTGATAAACTCTTTTCATTTGATTTCCAAGGTTAAAAAATTAATTTAAAAAAAATGGTGTGTTACCTGAAACGGTCATAATGACCATCGTATAATTCTTGTATTTCCTCAAGTCAACGGCCAAAGGCTTATATATTAAATGAATCGTTCTTTAAATCTAGTTTCATCCTTTATATATATTCGTTATTTATTTTGGACGTTTTTTTAATTCATTTACATGTATATCCCAATGGTCATCTTTATTACTTTTTAAATACACAACCTATCTTAGATTTTAAGGATCAGATTTTGCAAGATTAATACACAAGGTTAATTAAAATGCAAAAATGTTAATCTTTGTACCGGATGACATATACCAAAATTTCATAAATATCTTAGTACAAGCTTTTATATTGATCTCATTTCATCAAGGATGATTTTATGTCATTTGGTGCAGTGTAGAAATAACATTATGTTCCAGGTGTTTCAAAACAGGTGCAAGGAATAAAAATGTACATTTTAAATGTAATTAATTTCTAAAAAGAATTGTCACTTACTACTTCTTCAAAAAAGTCAGATAAAGGCAGCGACATTGAAAGCATGATTTATAAAAGATTTTTAGGCATTAATTTTAGTTTTCCTTAGAATCGCCTTCTTCCTTGTATTCCAGTGTTCTAAAGCAGAGACATAACTGAAACTCGGAACCCTTTGAAAGCTCGCGAATGTTCACTTGTAAAAAACGTTTAATCTGCTAAAGTCACACGACTCTTTAAAATTTTCAGGGATAACAAAAGTAAAAACTTTTGATTGATATCAACAAATTATTCAGAATATTATATTTTCATAAGTTTCTTTTTTGTGAATAAAATGACAAAAATGAATCTGGAAAAAAGTAAAAGGTGACCTGTGGAGCGTCATACCCGAGATTTAAAAAACTTCATTGACCATTAGCCTAGTGTGCTATTGTACAACAATGTATAGGCTTAAAACTTTACAAAGCTCAAATCGCCTGCATTTTACTACAGTAAACCAAGTGACCCTCTGGTGTTATATGGAATAACCTAATCACGACATGGTGACAGCAGCCATTATTTTAGTGCTTTAAGTAGAACAGAAGTAAAGTTCTTGTTGTCGTGAATGATGCAGGATAACGTCCTCGGTCTCGAAATGTTGTTTGAAACAACGCCTCGGCTTTCTTTATTTCAAAGCAACATTTTTCGACCTCTGGTTATTCTGCAACATTCACGAAAGCGCTAAAATTATTTCTTAAATATAAAAGCAGTAAATAAGTTATTTCAAAAATATTGCTTGAACCGGCACTTGTTTTAGCAAATAAACCTGTTAATGACTCTCAATTGTATTTGTCTAAGGTAAAAAGGTAGTAAAAAGAATCACATAACTTCATAAAAACGAACATTTTTAAATTTTATTTAATTTACAGGTGTTAGTAAATGTTGCTCCTCCAAAACCAGAAAGGATTTTGTCAGAGGAAGAAAGACAAGCATTCTTAGATGAGAGATCGCCATCAGGAAATACATTAAAAGCTGAAACCAAAGATGAACAAAACGTTAATACGGAAGTAGAAACTCTCCCAAGGTTTCTCTACGAAAAGACGGACGAGGAACCCACAATAACTGTAGGTCCAGATGGACAACTTGTTGTGTATAGCTCCAAGAAAAAGCCAAAGTTATTGATGGATTTAAACAGTGATGAACCAGTGGAAGCTCCATTAGCTAGTCCAGATACTTTGTCAGAGAGGTCAAGTGTGTTAAATTCTTTGAGTCAGACAAGTGAATTGGACAAAGGAAAAGAAAATTGTAGAATGACCCTGCAGAGTCCCCCTGCTCTTGAAACAATTAAACAGTCCCCTGAATTAAGAAAGCATGAATTTGTTAACAAAAGTAGTTCTAGCTGTGAGTCTCAGTGTAAACAGTGTAATGGCAATGTTGTAAAAACGTGTGCTGTTGTAGAATCAAATCCGCTTTTTAACAAGGAATGCTCAGATGGACATCCAGAAAGTACACCCCCTCCTCCCAAATTAAACGAAAAAGAGAACACAGCTCTATTATTAGTGAGTAGCTCTGAACGTCATTCTCCAGAGGAAACATTACAAGCAGAGTACGAAGATCCAAATTATTACTATACTGCTGCAGGAATTGGATATCCACACGGTTCAGGTGCTTACCATCCCCCTTTAGTAGTAACCAATTTAACCAGTAGTGATGGTGGTTCAGCAGCTACTCCTTTCAAATCCAAAAGCGATGTTGGATGTGTAAACTCCCCCATGCATCGCATAAAATCTACTTGTCAATATCAAGAAACGGGTGATAATTCTGAAGAAACCTTGAAAACCTCTCAGTCTGAATCTCACCTACAAACCCTTTCTGAAAAATACAGAATGAAACGTTCTCAAGAGCAGGGTGACATCGCACATTTACAAGACAGTGCTAAGGTCTACCATTCTTCGAATATGCTGCCTATTCGTGAATCGCTTGATTCCATCGGGGAAGATGAGGACTCTCAACTTTTGCGCGCCACATCCACAGAAGGAATAAGTGTATTTACGTCCCCATCAACTGATTCAGAAAAACCTTTGTCTTCTGCGCAGTCTGATGATGTTTTTGATCTACCATTGGAAGAAAGTGATGTTTAATTTTATCCAATTTTGTTTACTCTTTTTAAATTGTTTTTTATCACTGTGGTAACTATTTTGAAGGTTGAAAATTTGAATATGTGTTGTGAAGAAGTCATAAAGATTTTGTACTTTTAGAAACAGAAATCTGATAACTGGACCACTTCTAAAATAAAAACAAATCAATTTTGAATAATAAATATAGAGAAAGTTTATCACAGATCTAAATGTATGTACATAAGAAGAGATCTAGTAGTTAAACATTAAGATGAAAAAAAGCAACAGTTACTCCGACTAGTGGGCGGTCAATTGTACTTAAAAAGCGTAGGGTGTGGGATAGTGCTAAGTAATGTTTTCTTTGGTCACTTCAGTATCAGTAAATATCGGTTTTATTTAGTTCCACTAGTCCACTCGTTAACACAGAAGATAGCAAGACCATAAAGAGATGGATATAGTGTGAAAATATGGATAGCAATTAAGTGCATTAAAGAGTTTTGTTTATTCCATACTGAGCAGTTTTTGATTTAAAATTTTGTTCAATAAACTAGTTTTGTAAATTTGAAATAAAAAATTATTGTTAATGAGAATAACTATTACTTAGCAAAATTTCCTTTATTATGTCCATTAACAATTAAAAGAAAAGTCTACTTACTGAAAATATGTTGAATAACAAGACAGTATTAATTGCCATACCGTAGTGTATAGTTCTTAATTGCAATAACAGGTAATTTTTTACCACAAATAATGACACATCTGATTTAGTTCGATGCTATGACTTAAGATATTTTTTTCTGTCTGCATGTATGAAACTTCAAAATATTTTATTTTTAACGGGTTATTTGATTTTTAAAACGTGCGTACTTATTTTACAACTATATTTATTTAGGTGCCATTTACGACATATGAAAATAGTGCAATATCATATTTAATATTTCATATTATTTGTATTTGATATTATTTTACTTTCTAGTTTATGTATAGAGAGGCTTTTCCCCCTCTCATCATATTTTGTTGTTGAAAGTCATGCTCTTTAATATATTTTGAATTCCTTTAAATTTTTCTTCTTCATTATCTTCCAAATGCTTTAATTAAAGAGAATCTTAAATGTGTTGTTATGTTTTTGAAAATTGTGGCAAATGATGTCAATGCATAACTGATATTAAAAAAGGACAAAGGGATTAAGTGAAGGTGTTTTGCAAAAATCTGTGGATGCATACAATTTTTCAGATGTCATTATCGTAAAGATGCATTGAGATCTCTGTGAACTCAAGTTATGCGTTAAAGCAATCATAAATGTAGATTGATAAAGTAAAGCAAATTATTCACTTTATATCATTTGCAAAGGTAGAGTGAAATGAATTCATAATTCTTGAAATTTGAGAAAAAAGAATTCTGAAAATAAGACTTGTATATGAATTAGTAATTATGAAAGGAATCTACAGGTACATATAATTTATGCATTTCAAAAATGTTTTCCTTAATTTTGAAAGATACTTTTTAAACATAATTTGAAAAAAAAACTTAATGTAAATATTCAAAGTCTATTCTCAGTATATCTTTTGTAATAAATCAAAAACTTTGTACAGAGAATAGTATTTCAGAGAAAATAAAATTGATGACAATGTTTTGGGACCACTTTATCCAATTAATAGTTAAATAATTTTGCTGAAGGGGAAAACTACAATGTGTTCCACAATTGATATTTAAGAATTCTTTATTATTAGCTATAACAATGCATAAAGACCAGAGGAGTTTATTCAGTTGTAAGTTGTCCATTGTCTGACTGTTCTGGTTTAAGGTCTGACGACACGTTCCTCAGATATCTAATTTGTTTCTGTTTGTACTGTTTCAAAAACTATTGATAATTGCCATTCTCTAGTGAATTCTAAATTGTTTTGAAAAAGTCTTTATTGATAAGTACACCAAAAATTGTGATTTTGGCAAACTCAAGCTATTTCTTATAGGATTATATAAGAAACGCCAACCTCTGGTATCTTGCCAAAATGGCTGGCAAGGCACCTCAATTTTTGTGAGGAAACTTGTTAAAGTAGCAATACTTCAATGACATATTCTTGGGGGAAAATTATGTATTTTTTAGGAACCTGTCGTCTGACCTTAAACAATGATATATATATATATATATATATATATATATATATATATATATATATATATATATATATATATATAATGTAATACTCGTCCTTAATTTTTATATTCAATTTGAAAAAAAAATTGATAGGTACATGTAGGTTTACCACACTAACATACCTAATTGGTTTTCAAATTTGACAAATGGTATTGCCATGGTTACTGTGTATAGAAACTTCTGTGAAAATTTAAAAAAAAAACTTTCGCCTACTGTTTTGGTTCGAAATCATTAAAACCTTATACACACATGATACACACTAGTCTATTCTAAAGATGCATAATTTTCGATATCGACTAACAGGTTTGTATTGGCATGCTTACTGGAAATAACATCTTTCAAAATGCTGCTCTTAATATATTTTTGTACAATTTTTGCAATTTCAATAAAATATCGTACATAAATAGATTACACTAAGATAAATAGTTAATTTTAATGAACGGTGTTGTCGTTATTACTAAGAGGATTTTAGTTCCTAGCGTTCAATTTTTAAATCAGAAACCTTAATTCGACGATTTGTAAAGTGTATTTGAAAGTATTTTTGTAATTGTCTTTTCAGAAGAATGATTTCCTTTTGAAAAATTTCCTTTTACACAAAGCAAATATGGATTTCTTATCTAAAGATTTGAACATGCACAGTATACAAAATGATACGAAGAATGGAAGATATATATATACATTGATCTTGCCGCGATGGTTAAATAATTATGTACGTTAAGAAAAATTGTATATATTTTAAGCAAAATGAATTTATCAGAATTATATCCTTTGCGTCTGATACGAATGTTTTTCAAACACTTATCTAGAAAATGAAAATACGAGTATATGTTAAATGTAAATATTAAGATATTGATTTTCTTTCATTGCATGCTTTAATGCATTTTTTTTAAATTGTGAACTAAAAATGAAATATATTCATTGCTTTGAAGTTTATATCAGATTTCATTTTAATAACAACAACAACAACAACAACAAAAAAAAAAAAAAAAAAAAAAAAAAACATATATAAGCAAATTTAGCGATTTGTTTTGTGCGTGTGAACTTTTTTGAATAGTTGTTTACGTGTGCATTATTTCAGAAAGGGATTTTTTACGACAGTATAAAAGCGTGTAAAGGTAACGGTAAAAAAAAGGGTAACTCAACAAACATGAAAAATGAAGAGTTAAAAGAAAAACCCAATCATTCAATCAAAATTAACACAAAAATATTACTTCCTGCACATTAATTAAATTTTTGACCTTTTAATACGCCTTTTTATATTTTATACGGGCTAACCATGCTTTTTCTGGAGTTACTGAGTTTTCAAAGAAAAAAAATCAATGATTTAAATCCTTACGAATATTCATTTTTCCGGACATTTTTTTCTTTAGTATGCTCTAATATTGCATTCTCTCTTAACAAGCAAATCCTTCCAATTTTTCTAGAAGTGTTTACAATTTTATCATACTTAATGCATAAAAAAGAACCCCTTTGTGCACTTATGGAGATGTTTCTTGAAATATTTAATTTCCTTTCTTGATAAAATATTGCTTTCCGTAAAATGGGGTTATAAAACCTCACTCGCATTTACACAATACATATACATCATGTGTACGTTCCTTTTTTTCCTCCAAAAAACATTAACATCGTTTTTTTTTCTTATTTTGGTATTTTTATAAATGTTCCTTGCGCATTTCCTGAAAAAATAATATTCCTAGCAAAACCACAACATTTGTATAGAAATGAGTCTTTCTTGTTTTACAAAGGGACAGAAATAACTTGTGAGTAATTATAACTAAGCGTAAGTATAATTTTATATAACCAAACAAACAAGGAAAGAAATTTAGGGTCAACAGATACAAGTCATGCAGATTTTTGTTTTTAGATTGGAGAAAAACGTATGTTTACTCTCTGCTAGTGCGTGTAAGACTAATTTAAAGTCATGATGTTTTGAGGTCATTATTTATTCTTCAATTATGTTTCCGGCTACTATTGCTTAATAAAAAGAAAATGTGAACAAAGATATTAAATATTCAACGAGAATCTCTTGCGAGAAAATGCGATTTTTGGTCTTTTCCAATTGAAAGTTTTGTTAATAAAATGATTCAGATATTGTGAGACATCGACTTCGTGTATTGTTATGATCATTTTATAAACTTGTAATGGTCATTTATATGTAATTCAGAATGTTTATAACTGAAATTAATTTTTTTTTCAGCAAAGCTAATTTATTGCTTAAAAATAAAATAAAATATATAGAAGAGTCATATGATAATTTCACAGAGAAAAAAATATATAAGGGCATGGAAGATTTTACACGAAACAAAATTAATTATTTAAATTTTTTACTGATAGACAATTTTTGAGAGAAACAGTGTTATAAATGCATATATTTACAAAACATTTACTTATTAAGTAATCTTTATGCCAAGCATACGTCTTATAACATTAGAATGACCCAGAAAATAAAAAAAAAATGTCATTCTTGGCATATATGATTTGTTTTCTAACTAATGTATTTTAAAGAAAAAAGGTAAATAAAATAATTATTTGAATGAATGATTAAGTAAGTAAAAAAAAAATTTTTTTGTGTGCTGATTAGTTATTTTAATATTAAAAAACGTCCTGTTGTAGACGCAAGTTATTTTTCGAAAATGTTTCTTAATTTGGTAATTATAAAAAAATTTTATTGCTTAATAATAAAATCAACTGTTCACTGTAGTTAATGTTAACTTCTCTTTTACAGATTAACATATCAAGTTGAAAAAGGTATTGTACCATAATATAAACTAACTGAAGAATATCTAATAAACCACTTTATTTTTAGCTTTTATAACATATTGATTAATTAAATCTACCGTAAAAACAAGTAACCCACGAAATGACATCCCCACAAAGAAGTATAATTTTGCTTGCCCACGAACATTAACCCCATGAACTAAAATGATTCCACATTAATAAATGTAAGTCATTCTTTTTCGTGTATTTTGATAGTTGAAATTTAATAAAGTTTTTTTTTAATTAGTTCTAATTATCAGATAATATAAAACTTCAAGTATTTCAAAGAAGAAAAAAATAATAACCAACAACGAGAATATCACAGAGCTGTACTATGTGTATTTTTTACGAATGCTTACAGCAATAAAATCTAATATTGTTAAGTTCTGTGTCATCTCCCCATATTGACTGGAAGGACTCTATTTTCTGTTGAATTCCGCAGATGGCAGAACCATGGGGACAAGTTTGGCTCCATTCTCCGTATGTCCCCCAGTAACCCACCCCTGGTTGTTGAGCTAATACATAAGGTTCTCCCATTGTGATGTTTCTGCATGTAAACTTCAGAAAGTTGGCCGCAGTATCATCACTTCCTCCCTACAAATTATGAAACTATTCAACTATAACAATATCAGTTAAATAGCGTGAATTCCAAGTATTATTATTTAAATTTTCATCTTCGAGAATAGCTCTTGATTATTATAAAAAAGATACCTGAGGCTTCTCCACCTGCAGGGCAAATGACATCAGGAAGTCTCCCTCGTGACAAGAAGTCTTGGAGCCCCAGGAACCAAATGCTTTGATGTGTGGGTGAGGTGTGACCTCGCCAGTCTCTTCTAAAGATACTCCGTCCCTACAATAAAGGGCAACTCTGTTAAGCGAAGTGTCATCTCCCAAGTACTGTTTTGGCTCAATCTGAAAAATATCAGAGTCATACATCATGCATATAAAATTGCTCCTTTTCTTACCATAATAAAAATCACTTTATTAAGACAGATTTTGTATTCTGGATAAATAAGTATATTGGTAACTGAAGTGAAATTTGATTCCAGAAATTCTTTTAAAGTTTGCAATTTTACAAAGAGTAAATGTAGATAATTGCCTTGCATATCTTTTTTTCTCCACTTCATTCAGTCAACCTAAGCTATAGTAGATGTTCAAAATATGTTTTGTGAGCTACGAATCTACGTGCACGACTAAAGTTTAATAAATCATTTGCATTTGATACCTTCATTTTGTAACCATCTGCAAAACTCCCCTCTGGACAGTATGCCACCTTTCCCCACAATCCCCAATCGCCTCCCTTGACCGTTAAAGTGGCAGTCAGCTCCCGGCCCTCAGCGATGAAAAACAACACAGCAAAAGAGATAAGTATTCCTAAAGTGAATTATCAGGACTAGGAAATAATAACTTTTTAAGTATTACTTACATGAATATGTTGTCATATAATTATTCATATCTCCCTATTTGGTGTATATTTAGTATCTTGGTGAATTCTCATTTACGTAAAATGTTCTTGGTTTAAGAAATATTTTTAGTTGACTATAAAATGATACAAATGAGTTTTTGCTTTTATGTTAGCAGACTAATTACATTCAGCTAAAAAAGGTTTTTTATCATAACATCCCAGTCGCCCACGGGGCGCAGTGGTAGAGCGTCTGCTCTAGAGTCGCGTACAAAGGAGCCTTTCCTTACGTCGCGGTTTCGAATCGCACTGTGGGACGTGGAGACTGGTCCTTCGGTTGAGACCGTAAACACCGAGGTCCCGTGTTGCAGTAGATGCTGGCACGAAAAAGATCCCTCACTGATCAATTGCCCTGAGTGCCATGTATATGTCAAAATTTGCAGCTCTCCACCGGCAAGTAGTGGCGTCTCCATATGATTGAAAAATTCTCGAGAGGGACGTCAAACAACAAACAAACAAACAAAAACATAACGTCCCAGTAATAAAGAAAGTTCATTTTTACAATAAATTTCATTATGAGCCATAACTTCTTATGAAACATTATTAAATTAAAACATCTTGTATCTAGCTATAGTAAGATTTATTTACGGACAGAAGACAGACGTTTCAAGCAGTATTTTGTTTTTAATCTATAGCATTGAATCATTCTATTTGTTATATAATACACATATTGATGAAACACGAACATTTGATTTTGACATACCTTGCATGTTTACACGTTTTGATTTAAATCAGTGATGTAAAATATAATATTTTATGTGTTTAGTTTGATAATTTTCAGCAATTAATCTTTTGTTATCTATACATGGAGTGTTTGTTCGTTTCAAAGTGACGGTTTATCATTCGAAAGAGAAACTGAGACCATATGTGTCTTGATAAATAACATCTGGTTTTAAAATTAAACATAATACTTTCCATTTAATCATACTTAATGTATTTACCATCCGAAACATTTTGATGCATATTACTTTTATAGAAGTCATACATTTCTGTGAATTAAGGTTTGCTGAACAATAAATCTAAAATGGGATGTCTTTCGAATTCCTTATTAAAATAACGTCCTTATTAGAATTTATATACGAGGGTTGTTAGAAAAGTTCGCGGACAAGTTCTATAGTGAGCGCGCTATTTGCATGAAACCAATAAAACTATGCAGATAAAAAAAAACCCACGGATTTTCCAATAAATATGCAAAGATTTGGTGATTTCCTATGATCTTTAAAAAATATCCAGCAATATTATTTACATAAAACATGCTCCACGGAGCATGTAACTTTTTCGCACATTTACGATACATACATATTTTTGAGAAATTAAAAATTGCACTGTTGTAGCCCATAAAGATTTATGATTATGATATTTCACATGTCGCTACAATATTCTTGAAAGGTCATTTGGCGAAATTTTGAAATAAAATTGGAGGGGATTTGATTAATTATTGATTTTCAATGCTTGAAAATGAAGTCAACACTGGCAACGTCATTTAACGTCTTGGAGCACCGAGCTATTAAGAAATTATATCTACAAAAAGGAAAATGTCCGAAAGAGAATAAAATGTTTTTGGATGCAGCTGGGGCCTGCCTACACGTATCTAGGACCAAAGTGTTCAAATGGTAGTGGCTTTGTAAGAATGGAAAGATTGACAATTTAGATGATCAACTCCTGCGATACACCAATACACAGCTTATGGCATGGACATTGAGCGGATGGATTTTTACATTTTCAATACCTGATCGCTTAACTGCGTAAACATGGACTTTAAGATCTCACTAATATCCGATACGCCATAAAAGACATTTTAGAAAAAAAAGTAACATGTCTTGCTATAGTTAACAATCAATTTTCAATATGGAAAAGACATGAAAAGTCTACAGAACTGAAAGAAATTTAGAAATGTGAAAAAGCTTAACAGTTTGGAATCAGATTGTCTTGTCACCTAACGTCAAGTGATTGCTCCGTGAATCCTATGACCGCGCAGTAAAAATCATTGTATATTTTTAAAATTTTAATAAATGGACCTGATTTTTTTTACATGCTAATAACCAAAAGATAAGAATTTAATCAAACATACGTTATTCTTCAAAGTACACAATAAATTTTCCGTAAATCAATGTGTCCGCGAACATTTCTAACAACTCTCGTATGTTGTCTATTTATTGCAGTTTTCAAAATTTGCTGTGAGTGTTTTGAATAAAAAATTCATAATAAAATCCATTTTGATGGCCAAAAATGTGCATCCAACGCAATTATGATTGACATTATAAAATAAAAAAGTGCAAAATAGGTATTTTTTTCTTTAAAATTCAAATTTCTATTTTATTTTTATAAAGCGAAAAGAGATCAAAAGATTATGAAAAGAAATAGAAAAAAGTACGTTACCTTCCAAATTCCTAGAAAGGATCAAAAAAGATATTCGTAACAACATTTAACTAACAAAAATATTTTGCAAATTTTCATGATTAAATCTTTTATTAATTATAAATGTGTGCACCAATAAATAGAAAATGATTTGCATATTTATGAGGAAGACAAGTTTGATCACGCCATTCGCTGGAATATAGTGTAAGTAATAGCCTTTCTAGAAACTGAATTATAATTAACATGAAACCCTCATATTGTTTTACATTAAACATCCAAAAAGTCAGTTTATCTTAGGAGAGCACGAAGTAGAAAGCGAAATAAACTTTTAATTGTAAAAGTAATAATTTTATTTTATATTGATCTTTTTTTATAGGTGAAAATTTTAGAAAAAGAAATGTGTCACAAGGAAAATCTAGCTAGAAAATGTTAAATATTTGTTGTTTTTAATGAACAATTCGACATTGATTTCTCCGTTGTTAAAATTTCTCCAAGTGTATGGATACATTCATTGAACAATAATGTAAAAATGCTTTTATTCTGAATGATCCTCATGTTCGGAAAATTTACAAGGTTTGTATAGAACAAGGTTTTAGCCGATAATATAACTCATGTCATGCTTATCTTGTACAATATAAACCAAATTAATTGTAGTGTAACGCCCTTTAACGATTGGATATTGTTGCATTTAGGGTACTTTAAGCCAATATTAAGGAGACTCAACACATCAACATTTTGTTAACTGGACTTTTAAACTAAAATTTCACTGAAAAAGACTTTTTGTTTGTTTTCAATATGAAAATCATTGATAAAAATGAATAAAAGTGATTTGTTAATTTTGTTTTAACCTACGCATAAAAATCCTCCAGAAATACGTTACAGTAAAAAGAAAAACAGAGTATGAAAGAGTAAGATGAAATATACGTGTATATGAGTTTTAAAGAAGCATTTTTAATGAAATTGTGAAAGTTGAAAAATATTGCGAAACTATACTTATCCCCACCGAAATTATAAAAAATGGTAGTATATAATAATTTCTTCTTAAAACTGAATAACTTGGCTATTAATATTATCAATATTGTTTATGAGCGCATAAATTAATTAAATATACAGTAACAACAGCCTTAGAAAGAAAGTTTTAGATTATCTGTTTACTTTCGTGAAAATTTGAGATCTCTCTCTCTCCCCCCCCCCCCCCCTCAATTCAGACAGATTCAAAGTTGAAAACTATCATTATTTTTAAATTTTACACTACGATTTCAATTCATTTTTGAAGTTTGATTGGTTGATATTTCTTTTCAGTATATGATATGCTTCTTGTAGATTTTATCCAGAGATTAAGAAATCATTAACAAACTTTTTTCTTTATTTTCATCAATAATTTTTTATGAAACAAAAGAAAACGGCAACTCGACTTTTCTACACAGGCTTTACAAGATTTTTTTTTACGATGCAGAAACATTAATAGATTTTTTATCTCTAAAACCTGTCTTATCGCAGGTAAACAAACTTTTCATTTCCCTGAAAGAAAAAAAATAAACTAGATAAAATTCTTGCATGTTTGGCCTCATTGCTCCTTAATCTATTAATCATATTTCTGTTTACAAATTGAATAAAATATATAGCTTATTATCTTCTTGATCGGACAATCCATATCTATAGTCAACTGGAACATTCTGCAAAGATTGTGTTTTTCCTGTTTGTCACTTTTCAAATATCCCTTAGCCCTCCCTTCGACTAAGTGGTATTCAACGTCTAGTGACTACTTTCTGCAGAGGTTTTGCTAATGGCTGGCGTCCCATATCCTCCATTCAATACCTTCACTGCTGTTTGCCTTATTCAGATCTTACTACAGTGAGAAGACAATAAACAACTGAGCATCACATACCCAGACATCAGGAGGTTTATTCCACACTCTGTATGTGTTTTGATCAAAGGTAGTGCATTTTATCTGGACAGTTCTGACATATAGATAACATATAAACTGAATAATTTGTCGTGAGATTACAGATTAGATTTTAGAATGTTCACGAAACTAAATAAAGAAAACATTCTGGTTTCTGTAGAATAGGAAAGGAATCTTATACCATTCGAATTCGTATTTCCCTTCAAATCCTGCCATGGATTAATATTCAATTAAAAAAAAAATCCAAAGAGGATGGAGAAAAGTGAACTATTATCTTACAAGCGAACGACATAGATATAGGGATCATTCAACCTACTTCATAATTCTTATTATAGGTCATTCGAACAACATCTAGTTTGAATTATGTTTGAATATATTACTCCAATTCAAATAACATCATTGCATAACACAGCTGATAATTAATGTATGGTAAAATATGGACATCATATAATGTAGCATTCATCTCACATGGCATATCATAAAAAACTGCTCACTTTGGTTGTTGTGTTGGATTGTAGTGGTGGTAGTGGTGGTAGCGGTGGGTGGTGATGGTGGTGTTGGATTGTTGTGGTGGTGTTGGTGGGTGGTGGTGGTAGCGGTGGTGTCTATGAAGTAGTGGTTATGGAGGGTGGTGGTAGTTTTAGAGGGTAGTTGTTGTGTTGGAGGGTGGTTGTTATTTTGGAGAGTGTTGCTAGAATTAAATGCTCATTTTCATGTTATGATTCAATTTATTCATTTATGTGCGATTATATTAACTTTATTTAAAAATAATTTGATGCACTTAAAAGGAGCTCTGATGCTAGCATATACTTTGCAAACGTGGCGTTTTATTATTCGACTATAGGTTTCCTCTGAGTCTGTCCATTTGTCTGTCTGTCTGTCCCTCTCTCTGTCTGTCAGTCTGTCCCACTTGGTTTTCTGCACTTCTTTTTCTAAACGCTTGCAGATATTGAGCTGATTTTTGGTATGTGACTTAACCTTGATGAGTTACAGATCAAGTTTGCATTTCGTTCCGTTTCATTGATTTTTGACGAAATTATGGCATTTTCAATTTTTAAGGGGAACCAGATTACACATGCCGGTAGGGGACTAGTATTGCTAATGCAATACTCTCAGAATGCTTGTTAATTCAGTGCGATGTTCTCATATCGGAAACACTGTGACTTCATGCAATTTTCTCGTTAAGGACTTCCGGATTTGTGGCGAAAACAAGTGCTGCTTTTTCAGTATGTATATAAATCATATCTAATTATTTTCTGTACAGAACACCTGTCCCTTGTTACCCACACAGCCTCTAATGATTGATTGAAAAGAGAACAGGTTTAAATAATGTTGCAAATCTCTTGTAAATCATACATTTCATATTTTGCAGGTCGAGGAAGACTAAACACTGTTGAACATCCATGCTTGTGCGAAAGTGCACTGAACTAATGGGTAAGAGCCTGAATGTGGAAAATATAGCACCTGTTGTTTTTCGCTCAAATGTCATGACATTGAATTTAGGTAAGCAAATCAAAAACTTTAAGTGTTCGAGTAAAATATAAGTTCAAAATAAAAAGGGAGGATAGAGATGAGAACGAAATGTTTATTGAATTATGACGAGATTTTTTTTTAGGCTGGGAAAACATAAAGCATTTAAATGACATAAAAATGACTTCGAAAAAAACACATGGCTTAATATTACGATAAAATCCTCACGAACTTCTTAAGAATGTGTATGGTAAATTGTCGTTTTAGTAAACCATGAAAAATTCAATGCATAATTTTGTTTTGCAAACAAAGTAGCTAAGTGACTACTTGGAAGTCTGTTCAGTGTACAGGAAATTATAATCATCGTGTTTTGTTTTTTTTTTTTGCTAAATTTTATATCTAATTTTTATGCATTTTAATTTAGATTGCAAATTGCACACATGCATCTCCATTTTATGGGTATTATCGGATATGACTGGATAAAATCACATAGAATGGAACCACAGAAATTATTCTTTTTTTTTATATTATAAAAACTTGACTAAATTGAATTGTTTTCAGCACATTTCGTCCTGGATTCAATGGGAGCCTCAGGGAGGCACCCAGAGCAACTGCTTAAACAGCTGGTGCTCCCAAACTTTAAATCCTGGTTCCTGGGTAAATCCTGATTATATATATAACGTAAATTTGGTTTACAATGTTTTTAAAATATTAGTTTTTACTTTCTTCACTGTATGGTTAGCTACAAGTTTATATTGCTGTAGGTGTGTTTCATTTAATCAAATTAAAACTACGAGTAAAATACATTTATTTTTCCATTTCTATTTTCATTCTTTTAAATCATTGAATATGTTGACCATGCGGAAACATAAAATCTCAAAGCAATGACCATATATCTTTCGCATGTGAGTTAAGACTACATGTTTCTATGCAAATGAGCTAATAAAACGCATAAGAGGAATATTTATTATACAGAGAAAGTTTTGATTTCATTTATTATGCATAATTAGTACCCACGATATGTTATAGCCATTTCACATTATGAGGTCATATTATGACGTCATTGTTTTTACCTACTGGAGGCAATAAAACACATCAACAAAACAGCTTTGGCGCAAGGGATTACCATATTTAATTTTACATAAAAATTGTATAATGCTAAGAAGAATATTGTATAGATTAATTAAACTGCTGCACAATTTATAGACATTTTCTAATTTGATCGGAATTTGAGGAAACATATACCAGACTGTGCATTTTTACCCTGATTCAACTTCAAACTTTACAAATAGAAATTAAACAACTGAGCTGTTGATATTTGTGCAGCAATACCAGCAATCTTTGGAATATTTTGCTTCTTAATATGCATTGTTTCAGTAAAATAAAATAGAGCATGCCCTTGCGCCGAAGCATTTTTTTGATAACCATTATAATCTTGTGTAGTAAAGAACAATGACGTCATGATATGACGTCATAATGTGTACTGGCTATCTCATGCTGTGGGTACCAAATATGTAATACACAATAAGTTTTAACTTTCTCTTTATAATAGATAAAGTCCTTAGGCATTTTAATTAGTTTATTTGCATAGATATGCCTATACCTAGCCTTAACTCACCTGCGTTCCATAAATGATTATAGTTCAACGAAAATAACATTGTAAAATGTTAACTAAAAGAAATCTATATTTGCTGCAGGTACTAGCTATAATATCTTTGTCGTCTGTCATTTTTGAATATATTAACAATGCAGGTTGCTCATTGGCCGGATCGATTTGTTGTACAGAATAAGAACACTTTCTACTTCAAAAAAAGAGTAAGATGCAATTTGGAAAGTCGTATGATATAATAGCGTATTTCACCCAGTAACATTTTGCTGTATACGACAAGTTGTATAAAACTTCTATTACCGTGTAACCTGTCTTTAGCGTGTATACGTATGCATAAAGATAGCTTCAATCATTTTATTGTTGTGACAAAACATACTGCTATTCCGCGATGATTTTTTAAAATCTTTTTTCCGTGACCTTTTTCAGGTAATGTTACTCGTCAACTTTTGAGAAAAGTTTGGTCAGAACCTCTAACTTCAACATTATTTATTTCAATTCAGCAGCTGTTCAGTTTTAATGACATATTTCATTTGAACAACGCAAATTATACAATATTTAATTTAAAATCTGATCACAAAATTGTAAAGAAACAAGATTTAAGGGGAACTGTTTCTTGTGGTGGAAGGATATTTAGAGGAAAAATTCTTCAAATCTACAGAGTTTGTTTGATTTAATATCTTAGATCTTTAGCTTTACATAATTTTTACTCGGAGAATTTTTTCCTTATTATATGCCATGAATATAAATTATAAATTTCAATTAATATTTCTAAAACAAATTTTACACATTCACAAAACAGACCTTGCCAAAAAATGAAGATATATATTTAAGAAGTCAGGATAATTTTTTTTTCTTCATGAAAATTCCAATATTTTGACCAGTATCTCAAAATTTACATCATGTACCCCAACTTTTTCTTTCATTCTTTTAAAGTACATTGTACAATTAACCGACCAGCACTAAAGTCATAAAAGGCGTGATACAAAAAAACTGTTTTATTGCTATTTAGGTTTGGAATACGCCAAATATGATTTTATCTTTTTAGTGCAAAAATGTCACACAATTTTTACGCGCAATAATTTGCAGGATTTTTTTTTTTGAGCAATAAATATTATTCAAACTGTTTTACATAAAATAAGATTATACTTATTGTCATGATTACATTTGATAAAATATGATAAAGGTGAAATATGTTAAAAGTGATCAATCTTAAAGTTACAATTTAAGTGCAAAAAGGTCAAGTTAATTTTACCGTTGCTCAGTAAGATGCACCTTGACCTCAAATTTTCCTTGCGATTTTGAGTCATGGTGTATGAGTAATTATTTAAAATATTCTTCTAAATAATTTTGATATAACTCATATAACGAGTGATATACCTTTTAAAATGTACCACTTTCTTTAGCCAAGTAACTATCTCACAACAGCAACTCAGTTGTTATTGTATCTTTGCATGAAATGTATGGAGATAACGAACAGTATTCAAGTCCATTTAAAATTACAAATTTTGGAGCAGAGCAAACACAACCTCTAAAACATCAGAGGTGAGATCAGGTGCCATGGAGGACTTTTCGACGTTTCATCGCTAAGAAACATAACCATTATTTAAAACATTGAATTTTCTTTACGTGTATCCACGATATAATATACATTAGTTATCACGAATTGTTTCAGTATGAAAAATTTCCATGACTTCTGAAATCTGTCACTATTCAGTGTGATCTTTATGAAAATTTTATATCTTCGTGAGCTCATACTCACTGCTACTGGCTACAATGCTACGAGGAAATACAGGAAAATACAGGTAAATATATATCGGCAAATGCGAAGCTCTCTACCCGTGGCTATTGAAAAATCGCGGAAAGAAGGTATGAGATAAAGGATAAAACACAACTAATAGTAAAAATAAATCGCAGAAAAAAGGATAATTTATGTCTTCATTCTACCTAGAAAAAGAAGATCAAAACGAATGTGAAACGGACTATATTCAAGATTATTAACTATTTCTTAATGGAATGCAATGGTTATCTTTTTCTTTGTACTCAGCACATAAAAGAAAGAAGAATTATTAAAATTTAATCTGGTTAAAATTACTTAGAGGGTTGGCCGGTAGATTTCATTTCAGATTTTTTTTTAAAATTTGGCTTATAAATACCTTAGTGTGCAATTTCTGTACCCACCTGACAAAATGCTTCATTTGTGCAGAAGGTTAAATCTATAGGTGAAGGAGGACTTTGGAAACTTAAGAAATTGACTTCACACATTGTAGCTATATATATCTCGTACTTGCTGAAGAGAAACGTCCGGTAATGAGATATCGTTCTCTATATCAAACCCTATAGCGGCAGTTGCCAATTTGTCACTGATGTATAAGCGTTGCTTATAAATTAATTTATGATCGAGAAACAAGTCTTTAAAATCCAATCATTAAATCCGATTCGTTTTATTTTAGATCCAATCCTCGATGAAAAAAATGATCTATATACCGGGAGTCAATCCTATATTATACAAAGATTACGGTATATGTGTATATGTATCTATGATACTATACAGAAATGACGTACTTGTATATGGAAATGCATGAATCTATGCCATTGAACAGATATTAACGTTTTTTCATTGGCATCTCTAAATTTAACCGTTGCTTAGGTCAGTAGTAAGCACTTTTAAAATTTTCACCAATCACTCAAAGGAAGGTACATAAAGCTGTGCAAACTTTCTTTCCTTTTCATTATTTTACATATTAAAAAAATTCATTATGTTACATTTTGAAACAACATTTATTTATTTATTTATATTATCTGAAAATGACCTAATAATTTGTGAGAAGACGTATTTCAAAAGGGGTAAAAACCTTCCTTTTTGAAGGAACCCATTCCTTCAACCTTGAATACGATAGCTCAGTCGGTAGAGCGCTCGGTCCGTGATCGGAAGTTTGTGGGCTCAAACCCGGCCGTGACTGACCGAATTCGACAAAAAATAGGTAGCAACGTTCTTTCGCCAATCGTTTGGCACTTTGAAGTAAAATTTGCGGGTCTTTCGGATAAGACCTAAAAAACCGAGGCCCTGTGTCACGGCAGGGGTTGGGACGATAAAGATCCCTCACTGCTCAAGGGCCCCGAATGCCGAATAAAGGTCTAAATTTAAAGTCCTTCACCGGTATATAATGAGGTCTCTATATTAGTGAATAATCTGAAATTGGACGTAAAACAACATACAATCAATCTTGAATTTCCAATATGTATCCAGAGGTAGTTCAATTAAACAATTAATTGGTTTTTTGTTTGTAAGTATGGGAATTAATGCCACAGCTGTTGCGGAAAAAATGTATAACCTGTGTAAGCGGGTTAATGTTTGCTCACTAATAGCTGCAACCGTTAATTGAAAAACATGATAGTTTAGATAAGAAAGAAAGGAGAAAATCTTCAGTGAATGTAAACATTCCTTGATAACCCTTTCTTCGGGTTTCGTAACATGTGACCGAAACTGTTGCTCACCACATCCATAAATGTACTTTCTATGTAATCAAATCGTGCTCTGTAAGGATTTATATACTTTTTATTTTCATACTAAATAATCCTTGCACAACGCTCTTTGGAATGAAATAACTTTCCTTATAAATATATAAATAAAATAAAGCTGCATTATTTTAAAATACATTTTATAAGTAAAACTTAACAATATCATTAAAAGTTCAACAATCACCGTCGGAAGGTTATATAAATTCAGGAATTTACAACAAATTCTGTTCCTCTCCGAATCTTGTTCACTGAAAAGTTTCACTTTTTATATAAATGGCAGTATTTGGTAAAGTCACTGGGAAAACAAGATCGAAAGCAGCACTCACACTCTAAATCGTCCATTGTTAAATGTTGAGAAGAAGAGGCATCACCTAGAAAAAAGGCAAATTTATTTTAACTAGGAAAAGACACTGATGGCTAACTAACAACTAAATCTTATGATTAACGTGATGACTTCAAATTTACATGTATATGATTGATAATAGTTAACATGCACTAGAATAGTTTTTTCACACCTGGTGAGATAAATATGCACTTAATGGATTATTAGATCGATATAAATAACGTTCATATATTGTATTTAAGAATGGCACTTGCAAAACGAAACTATTGTATTTGTACTTTATAGTATATTAACTGACAAGAGCAAACTTAATGAAGATTAAATTTCTGTCAATATTATGTCAAGTTAGTCTTGGTTACGTTGCTATTAATTAAGATTTCTGTATATTAAGCAATCTAATTTAACCTTGAAAAAAGGGTCGACCAACCAACTGTCGACATATATATAGAAAACGAAGAATTTAATTATTCTTCAGGACAGGACTGGGTGAGTTATTGTAACAGGTAATAGCTATGAAATTGACGAGGACAGCCTGCTAATGTTTCGCTGGTAGTATATGTCATTTTTCATATGTGAAACATTGTGTAAACAACATCAATACAAGGAGAAGCTAATAACCGCAAAATGTCTTCCCCACTTCCCGATTTAACTTACATAAGATGATTCACAAAGATATGTAGCGCACATGAAAGATTTTTTTTTATGAGATTTGTTTGCTAAATGCTTGCACAGTCCTTCAAAGTCAACTTACTTTAATTGTATTTTATGTTGCTGTTTTCCAATATCTATAAAGAATTTGAGATAGTATAAAAATATATTATGCGATATTAATATCCTTTGGGTATTAATTTCTTATGTCAGTATATTTGGCATGAATAATTTGTTTTCATGCATTTTTGGAGAGGAGAAAAAAGACAAAACTGTTGAAAATAAAAATATTAAAGAAAACGGAAGGGATAGGTTTATGATACATGGTAAACACAAGTGTTAAGGTAGAGAGATGCCCTGTCGATGCTGTGGTCGACCAGTAAAAAAAACATGCATCAAAATGATTGCATTTATTTGTTTATGAAAATCTGATCTTAATAATTGATTACAAATTACTTTTAATTTTTTTTAAATTCTTATTGAATAATGGTTTAAAGTATGCTTAACATGCATTTAAATCGAAATGTTAAGTACATTGTATACAAGTATAAACAATTTGTTGCAAAATCATCACCTCACGTGTTTATTACTATAATAACCTATACCTGTTAGCCACTTCAATGGATGATAATTTATAAAAGATTTTAAAAAATGATACAAATGTTTACATATCTAACTTCTTCAATTGTATAATTGCTGACCGTGCATTTTTGTAGTATTTTATGATTATCTAATGGATATAATCGTGTAATCGTATGTTATGTGAAAAACGCCTATGATATGAATGTCTAAACAGATTTGTACATTAGAAAGCCAAGGGCATGAAATTCAATGACGTTAGTTTGATATAAATAGTCATTTAAAATAATAAACAAGGCCATAAAATAGTGTCATGTAATGAAAAATATTTTATGCAACAAGGAACCCACGTAAAATTGTGTCAAAGATGCTTACAAAAAAATTACCGGATTTTCCTAACAATGGAACTGTGCAATAAATGACCGCAATTAGAGAAAAGTTATGCTGGAAAAAGGTAATTTATGATTGAGATTTAATTTGTACTAATAACCAGAGTAGACATTGTCTGAAAGAAAGCGCATGCAATTTTTAATGCTTGTAGAATGTAAACGAACTATGCATTTCTTTCCAATATCTGTGGTTAACTTGAACTGTTTTAACTACATTCGAAATTAATGTATCTCAATTAGTAAGCTGAGGACTGTTTTATGGAAATAACTGTGTGCATCTTATTGAACCTTGAAAAATATTTTTTCTTTGCTCATTGTACCTATAATGTTAGATAAAATTATATACGGCTAAATCGAGTACATCTAATTTACAATACAATTGCATTATTCTTTGTACATGAAAAAGTTCAGTGCAGCAACTCTCTCTCTCTCTCTCTCTCTGTGTGTGTGTGTGTGTGTGTCGAAAAGAATGCGATGCTGATTAAGACCGTTGATAGCTCTATCAATTTGAACTCTATAATGGGTTATGAATAAATTCAAATATTGTTTTTATTTAATATGTTTAATTATAATATTTTTCTTCAAAGCTATAACATTTTGGCTAATTATAATTTTTTCCCTCTTCTCTTATTATTATTATATTATTATAAAATTACATTTTTGTTTTTCCTCCGGTATCGCTTCAATCAATAATAGAATGCAATGTAAAAAAGTAAGCGACAGTATGCATAGTCTTGTAGATTTCACAAATTGTATCACATTGAATTGAAAATGAATATTTTGTTGTGTTTGTTCAAGTAAGATAAAACTAATTGAATTGTGCAGCATTAACTTCAGCATTTGAAGACACGAAACATAATCAATAAAAAGGATTAATTGCTCATTATCAATAATTGTGCTATAAATATGTATACAAATACTATTAAATATTATTTTTTTCTCTATCTGTCGTACTTTCTTACTCTGCAAAAAATCTAATCTCAAAAATGAATAAATGTATATTTAAGATTTTTAAATATTTTATACATCTGTTAAAAATTAATGTACACTGGAATATTTGAAATTAAATCATTTTTGCTTTTATCCAATAACTTTAAATAGTAAAGGTTAATCTATTGAAGAAGAGATAAATATGAGAGTGTCGTGATGTGAACATTTGGATCTAACTGATTTGAATATTATTGCAATTTGATATTTTAAAGGGTAAGAACTGCCTTTTGATTAATAATTTATCCCGCTCAGATTAAAGTTTGCTAAAAATCTAAATCCACATTTTGCATTAATGGAAGATTGCTTATGTTTTTGTGATACTGAGAGTTTGATATTTCCTTTAGCTGATGCTGTGTCTGTTGCTCGACTATGATTTCCTGAAAGACCATTTTCTATGATTACTTCATTTTTTTAAAATTTACAAATCTATGACAGGTGTTCAGAAATCAAACAATTGAATGGTATTGAAACTTTGTCAAAGTGTCTTTTTAAATTAAAAACAAACTATAATAATTTCAAAAGCTGAGCATTGCTTTAGAAATTTACAAAACAGAAAAAGGCAAAGACTTACCGGCGGGAAAAAAGTCCATAAAGGAGGGAAACCCGCACATTATTGAAAGTATATCAACCATCTGATTTCTGCATTCCGAAATAATACTTAGAGAGTTAAGGAACACAGAACCTTTGCAACAGAGTCCACAATGTATGAAACACAAGAGAAAAACACAGGAAAGAAAACACTGGCGGGATTGTTTGACGAGAATCATTGCGAATCAAGAGCCAGTAAAGCTCCTGTAGATTACTTATACAACACAGGGACTTTTTCGCCCTGCCCACAACTTATTAAGCGATTCAATGGACCATGAGCGTGCATTCACATTTCGTGTTTGGGTTTGTTTTTGCTAATCACAAAATCTTGGCCTGAATTTTTCATACAACTTGATCTCAAAATTAAAAAAAAATATTAGGTAAATATTTCAATATTGTTTTATTTTATTATATATAGTTTTTCGGAATATTTGTAAAACTTGATTGTTAATTATGATAACGATATAAAACATAAACAATTCATGTTTTTCTCATTTCCGCAGTGATGAATATTTAACCAGAATGCTTCAAAGAGTGGTTTTTGAACACAACATAAAAATTTTGACCACAAAACTCTGTTCCTTTGACTCCAAATGATGCATGGTATGGAATGTGAAATATTTAGTAAACAAGTTACACGCCAATTTCACCAATGTTGTTTTGAAATAATCCTCAAAAAGGTCCGGTCATATTTTGGGGTCGATTTCCGTCGTGGCATCTAAAACGTGAATAACAAAAAACAAGGAAAAACAGCTTCTAATGAAAGATAACAACCACAATATTGTTGTTTTGATTGCAATCAAAACAAACAACACGCCTTCGGAGCGACCTATGTCAGGTAATAGATTTACGGATTACAAAAAGCTTCTCTTTATTTATATTGAAGTTTCTACTTTTTATTTATATTGAAGTTTCTTTTTTTTTATTTATTAAATTATGTAAAATGGTTAAATTATTAGCTTTCAGTTTTAAAATTTCTTGCAAAGTACTAAATGTATATGTCTTCTCTTAAATTTCTTCCAAAATATATTAGATTTCCTGGCAAGAGGATGTCCACATAAAACTTTTTGGACAGAAAACTTGATTTTAAAAATAAATAAAGCAATTCAGAAGACATAATTAGTTACCTTTCGATCCATTCTTCCAATTGTTAGAATTATAAGTTTTAGTAAAAAAGCACAATACTAGTAAAGCGTATATTTAATTAATTTTAATTATTTCCTAAATAAACAATCTAGAACTGAAAAGAATTTTTGCAAGTAAAATAGTTTTATATGCATAAAAAGGCCATCAAATGTTTCAAAGAAATGTTTAAAATGTTAAAAAAAAAAAAACATTGGTGATCTGTTTTACATCTTTAAGTTATTTATAAAATTGTATATTCGAAAATGTCAAAGAATGTATTGAATACTCTTGTTTGCTCTCAATGTTACTGAGTAAATGAAAATATATGTATACTTTGCTTAAGTGTAAAAGAAAAAACTCCTCAAAATATTTTCCAATATAAATTAGACAATTAAACAAAAAAAAACCCAATAAAGTATAATTATAAAAAAAGAAAAATAAAATAAAATATATAAATAGTAGGGTCGATGTCATGTACGATATGTCATCAAATTTTCATAATAGACTAGGTTACTTGTCAAATTTAGTTAAATAGAACCTAATTAACATAAATCAAATCAATTTCAACACGATTTGGTCAAATGTGATATATTGATTAATAATAAGCTATCCTCTATAATAGTATAAGTTGCAAAGCTTTTAATACTCACGTATTAGATATTAAAGATTTTAAATCCAGAACAGAACAAGAAGAATTACTTGTCAACCTTATTTTGTAATTGTGCCTGTTCAATAGCTTGAATGATATTTTTGTACCATTATAACTACAATGGCACATATAAATATATAGAAGCAAAATACAAGCATATATAGTCACATAAAGTCATTAGTGCAATGAAAGATAACATTTCCAAGAATTGTGGAAGAAGTTCATAGTTTGGATAGCCAGATAACAATTTTTTTAAAGCTACGATTTTTTTTTAATTGATTTGTTTAACTGATCGAAAATATGTTATCTTTTATGTATCTTCATCTTCATACTGTTTTAATTTCAACGTTAAATTTTTATCGAAACAAACAGAATTTTGAATCTCCAGTAATTATTTCAAATTAAGTTTTATTGCATGTTTATGTTTAAGTGTCAAACATTGTTAACTTGGATTTTTATTTTTTCTTGGGCCTGTATTTCTCATTAATTTATATACATTAGGTAAAACAAACAACGAGCTCTAAATCATGTATTCAGGGTTCAATTAGCTTGATTTTCTCTTGTTTATCCAACAGAATTATCAAAAAAAAAAAAAAAAAAAAAAAAAAAAAAAAAAAAAAAATTCCATATGCAAAATTGTCATGATTGTGTATTCATTATTATTTTAAAGCACGAAAATCTCACATTTATACAATCTACCTAAGTACAAAAATTTTAATATTCAAATCTCATGATATATAGATTTTGGTCTCCTCCGACTTTGATGTGCTAGAATTACGAGTTTGTTTGCACTTTTTTGACCAGAGGAGAGTATATAATAGCAGGTAAAAGGAACGCTGACACTTCCTTATTAGTTTATACGTGTTGTTTACTTTTCCCTTTGTGTCAATCACACGGTAAGACAGCCCAGGGCATACAGTGAAGTGCTTGTTTTCTTACATGTTAAACACGTGCGGGAACGGGAAAAAATGCATGAAAATTACTTTCTTGAATTAAGATAATGTATTTTTTTTTTTCATTTTTTATTTGATATGATTATTTTTAAAGAAAATATGACAAAAATAGGGGTTTATCAAGAGCAATGTATAAAACTTGGAAATTAATTTTTGCATAAAAATAAAGGGGGAAAAAGCTAATAAATATCTAAAATAAATCCTTGAATTTAGAGAAAAAGATCGAATAAAAATAGTAGAAAGCAAAATATGTACAAAGAAAATAATAATAGATAAATAAATAACAAATAAACAAGCGAATATTTTCAATTTGATATATACATGTATACCAAGTTGAATTATTAATAAAACTGGCTGTCGCAAAAAAGAAAAGGGTACATATTCAGTTATACAATTTTTTCTCTGTTTCAATTTACTCAAGATTTAAAGGTAAGTTTAAAATACTGTGTTGTTGCATTCTTGACAGCATAATCGTTTCATCAATTTTGAAAAAAAAAGAAGTCTTAAATCATTACAAGTCAAACATTAGAGAAAGCCTCTATGAGAGGAATAAGATTGACACCATTATTCAGAAATCATGATGGTGTTCACCTTGAACTTGCAATGAAATTCATCGTAAATTAATCAACATCAAAGAGAGTTGCCTTCAAACAAAGACAAACGTTGCTAAAACGTGCATTTGCTTTTTAATACAATTCTGATTGTCATCTATGATAAACAAGCATCTGGCTGTATGCTACCACTTATTGTGCATAAAATTGCATAACAGTGTACATGTTAGAAAGATCAAGGATACAGATAAATATTGAAGAACGTTTTTAAATTGAAATTAAGGTAATTTCTAAGTTAACACACGTTTACTGCTTTGAATGAACATCAGCAAGAATACATCTCCACATTTTAATTTTTTTTTAAAATTAGTAAGAAACTGAGATTTTTTTTTGGTTTATTTTACGTCCTTTCAAGAATGCTTCACTCATCTTTAAACGCAATCACTTGGAGTTGAAGGGCTGCAAATTTAGACCTGTACTCGGCACTTACAGCCTGTAAGCAGTGAGGCATCTTTTTTGTGCCAGCACCTACTGCGACTCAGTATGTACGGTCTCACCCGAAGGACCAGTCTCCGCGTGGATTTCAACCCGCGACGTAAGGGTCAACTCCTAACTCAAGGACTCTAGAGCAAACGCTCTAACCATGCGTTTCACTGAATACAGGTCTTTTCAACCAAAACAGTTATTTCTTATCGTGCTATAGTATATTTTCGGTAAAATTTCTCGGATACAAAATCTGTCATACATTTTTCCTTCATTGATTTTAGAATCTTGAGCTAACGTTTACTCTGTGATTCTTATTTTTAAAATTCTTACTATGATATTTTTGTTCGTCATTCCTTTTCCCCCCTCATTATCATTATTTTTTTGGTTATAAAGTCTAATAGATTACTCATTTACATAGAAAGGATCCCACTGGAAATAAACCTCGGGCTTTTATGGGTATTCTGACTATTTCATACTTATATATCTATTTTTTTTCTCTCTCTCTAATGTTTAAAAGTATTTTTAATCAACACGATGCTGATAAATTCCAATAAATTTTATTTTTTGGTGCTATTTGTGTGATTTATATGTTGCTTTATGTTTTATTTGTTTAAATTTACATGGGCATTGTATACCATATAAATCTATTAATAATTAGAATAACATCAATTTAAGCAAAGTAAAAATGTCAATTGAATTCAAAAAGTACACTTTGTTCAACTGTCACTATTATAAGTGTCATCAAAAATTCATTAATTTGAATAAAAATAGATTCTACATAAAGCCTAATTCTCAGTGACTCTGTCATTAATTTTACATATAAATTGATCATCAAAAATGAACAAAAAAGGGGGGGGGGAATCTAAAAATTATTTTCAAAAATATACATTACTTTCTACAGAATGGAATACGTGAAAAAGAAAATAAACAGAAAAGTGAATGAATTATGCTGTAGATGCAAAAAAATTACTCTCCTGAAAATAAGTCAGATAGTTGGCATGGTTCCAAAACACTGAACACGGTGTAAGTACATAAATATAAATGTAGTGCGTGGGAGAAGCTGTTTACTTCTGACAAGATTCATAGGAAAAGTTATGTAAAATTGATGTGTACTGATGGTTATTAAGCTATTTACAAAAATGACCTTCTTCGGTCGCCTGTACTAGAGACAACAGAAACAAACAAACGTTGTAAAGTAATATTATGTTGAATGAACACGTATGCAAAAACATTCTGTACTTGTATATGCTGTGTTTATAATATTCGTGGAAAAAATATTTATAAACTGATGTTATTTTTGGAGTTAGGGAAGTGACCATGCAACAGTAAATTGGATACATTTATGTCTTATTTGCTCGGAAAACTGTGGGGGGTCATGTTAAATGTATGCTTTATGGGAATGGTGGACAGACTCAAGGACAAACAAGGTTTATTGATACCTTGAACCTATGAGAGTAGGCCAGTGTAAAGTCCAACAAATAAACCAATAAAACAAAGAGTAGTCGTGTACCTAAAAAAAATAAAGAAGTGCTGAAAAAGAAATATGAA